CCAGTAACTAGTTCGTTACAAGTACCATAAACCATAGTGAAATTGGAGTTTTGTTCACCAACTTAGCTATCGAACGGGGGCCTCAACTTGTAGATCCATCACAAGTTCATGGAAATTACTATTAATAGGATATAATAAAATATTATGAGCGGGATATTAATATATGACTATTGTAATATAGTGGATATTACTAGGGATATAATGTCAGTAAATATATCCCAATATCTATGTCTACTGTCAGTAAATAGTCCACCGTAGTCAGTAGCATGTCAGTAGCTTGAAATGGAATATTACTATTACTAGGGTGATTTCTCTACATATATATATAATATATGGGTAAATTTCATCACGGCCTCACTGTTCTCCCGAGCCCTGGAATCATGGTTTACTTTTAGGGAAATCATCCCCAAATGGCCGAACAATTCAGGTTAGTGAAATATTATGATTTACCCAGATATATGATATTAATAGTAATTGTGGATTAGTAATATTTCATGGATCCCCTTTTTCGGACGTCAAGTTACACCTGCCTGACCTGGTATCGTGAAATCTTCGGACCTCAGCTTCTACTTGGAATTTTCCCATGAAAATCAGGGAAATAAGGGGTAAATTAGAATATGAATGGTAGTTTCATATGACTTTATATGGTGTAATAGCAATGATCATGGGATAATAGTAGGGATACTTAGTGGTGAACTACCCGCGAATCGTAAGTGGGCTAGAATTACCCTAGTTATAAGCGGAGATTGCCCCTGCTTATCCCACCGAAATCACCACAGTTTTAAGCCAGTTACGATTCGTGGCTAGTTCGAAACCAAGAATGGTAAAATGTGTCCATTCAGCAGCTCAGAAATACAGGATGGTGCCCCCCAGTTATGTTGATTTATAAACCCTATGAACTATAGACCATAGAATTCAGCCATAGATCATAAACCATAGAATTCAGCCATAAACCATGAACCATAGTTATATATATATATATATCTGCCATAAACCATAGAATTCAGCCACTAAAATGGACAACTGAACTGCTCAGCGATCAGATTTGCCGAGATCATGGGATCATTCTGAAGCCTCCCGAAGCCTGGAACCATGGATTTTTAAAACGGGGGGGAAATCATTCCCCTTTTATGGCCGAAGAATTTTCAGGTGAGTGAAATATGAGAATTTACCCAGATCATTAGAATTTACCCAAGTGTAATGATAGTTATAACATTCATTAGGCTAATGAGTGAATCATTATAGTTTACCTAGATGATTACCTAGATAATATACCTAAGCTAGTGAATCAGTACGATAATTAGTGAACATCAAGTTACCCTCTGGTAATTGGCTACATAGCTATTGAAAATGGCCATAGAAATAGTGGATTTACCCATGGAAAATTGTGATTTTCCATAGTTATGTTAGTTTACCAGAGGGTAGTTGGGCATTTTGTTGATGATTGAAGTGTTACTTGTTTCAGAAGAGCTAATGATATTAGGATACACTGAAACAGACACATGTTGGATCATGTTGGGTATCTACGATGATCACCATGCCAAATATCAGGTACAACCGGATGAGACCGGGTCCCATGATCCTAGCGCTTGCCATTGCGAAAGGCCTGGGTTGAGACAGTGCCGTTGAGCCTCTGCAACCTGAGTACTTTGTCCAAGCACCCTTTTTTGAGTATTTCCATGATGGCAGGTGGTGGTTTTTCGAGACCCAAGTTGCTATCAAACGGAAGAAACGGAAGTACCAGACCCACATAGACCCACATCATAAAATGGCATGTTGACCCGAATGGGATTTTCTTAAAATCGGAGTACGCCCAAATCATCCAATCTTAGCCAAATGTGGTACTTTTTCGCGTTGAAACAGCCATGGTTATTTTAAGAACGCACCACTTCGGAATCGCTAAGTTGGTTGAAACAACAAAGTGTCACTGTTGTGGGTTTATGCTAGATATTACCCTCTGGTAAATTAACATAGACCCTGAAATCACCAATTTTTAGTAGAAACTAATCTTCCAACCCCGACAACTGCCAGGGTCTATGTTAAATTACCAGAGGGTAATTGAAGTATAGCTTTCATGGGGTGTACCTGAACCAACCTCTGCGCATTTCACTGGTTGGTCAAATTGTTCTTTTCACCCGCATGAATCACAATGATAACATCAACCCTGGATTAATAAACCCCTAGGCTGTTTAATTTGCAATGTACCATCCAAGTATCAAATCATGATTTGGCTGGGGGAATACCCCCCTAATTAATAAACCATGGTTTATTAATCCGGAGTTGACATGAATCACTATGTTTATTGGTTATAGCCATAGCCCCAATTCAAACATGTTTTTATCCCAATAAATCTGGCTGGAGTTCCACGGATTTTTGCGCATGGCTTTTCTCACTTCATGATGCCAAACAGCTTTGGAAACAGCATATCTTGGAAGTGTCTGACAATCGGGCTATTTAAAATAGATAGTATGGGTTTATCATCTACCACTATCATCTACCATACTGACTTCTATTTAAAAGCACAACTTCTTTTTGTTCGGGACTCAGTTTTTTTGAATTGGGATACAATGTGATACAATAATTTGAATAGTGTATAGAAAAATTGATCCTCCAGTCCTTTTTGTTGAGCATTGAAGTTGCACAGCTTCGGGATATTTTTCTGGGGGGAATCAACATTCTGGGCTCTGGTGGTGCAAAGATGCAAAGATGATTCAAAGCATCCACTTCTACAGGATGGGACCCCCAGTTATAAGTTGGTTTATAAACCATTATAATCCCCATTAACTATAGTTATATCTACCATAAACCATTGTTAAGCCACTTATAAACCAACTTAGCTATCTTGGGGGCCCCATCCTGTAGGACCAAGCTGGTCATCCTCGGGTTTTTCTCAGCGGATTCATCTGGACCAGTCAAGTCCAGCAAAGGGATGTCGCAAAAAGAGTCGTCATGGGATGTCTGGTCGCCTCATTTTGTCATCCATCTTGGGGAAAAAAATGGTTGTTCATTTAAGCGATGTTTTGATGAACTCGGGTATGAAAGATATCATTTTGGTCCGCGGTCAAAGGTCGGATGCTGGACATTGAGTTTGTGTCAGCTAGTAATTATCTAAGATATGCATAGATTGCCATACCTTCTCTGGTGCAGAGAGCGATTCATCTCTGTTTGTTTTTAAAAAAACACGTCAAAATGTCTGGGTTTTTGGTCACATCGAACTCGTTTTCATGGGGAGTTTCTCTCGACGCCCTGCGGTAACCGGCAACGTGGCAGGGTCCAAACCACCGCTAGCCATCCTTGTCATTGCTTTTTTGCCTCGCATCTATCGTGCCCTGCGGCGAAGATTGGGTAGTTTTTGGTGCAAAAAAACGGGTTCCGGAACAATTCTGTGCGCCACATGCGAAATCTTTGGGCCCCAATTGTGATTCTGAAGATCTCTGGACCGATTGAACCGGGAATATATCTTCGGGGAATACTTCAAATGAATAGGAACATGTTATATTGAGGAACTAAGCATTGGAATCTGATCGCTTTGGGGTTGACTATGGACCAAGCCAATGGTGATTCGGGTAGTTTCGTACAGGTCAATATATAGCTTGTTTGAACTGTGGCTCGACTGGTTCGTGCCATCTATTTATATGTATATAATTATATTAATAGATAAACTAGGCATAAACTACTACTGTACTGTATAATATGTAATATGTTAAATTGTGTTTTACCTAAGCGCAAAAGATATCCAAGATTAGGCAAAATATCTACCTGAATGGGAGGCGAACGTTGAAACATCGCAACATAGCTCAGGTTTTTTTTGTACCGTACTGAATCAACTTGCCATGATGATATGATAATTACCGACGGGGCAAACTTGAGCCATAACTAAAATCAGGACTTTGTCCCTCAGTTCGGTTTGTTGCTCTATATAAAACCCCATAAACAGCAGGATGGGGCCCAGAGGTTATAAATTGGTTTATAAACCATTATAACCCCCATCAACTATAGTTATATCTACCATAACCAAAGTCAAGGCACTAATAAAGCAACTGAACGCTATCTCGGGGGCCCCATCCTGTAACTAGTTTGATCCCTCATAAGTCCAACAGTGGAAGTATAGAAACGAACAGAAACCTATTTGTCTCGCAGAGTAGCCATAATATTGCCCTCCATGAAAAAATTACCATGTTTATTCGATATACCCCCATTGTTGATCGTTGAAGCCACCATTTTTGCCAGGTATCAGTGAACTATTCATTGCATAATCCTTGCACCCGTGGCACCCTGACAAATGGCCTCTTCGTGGCGTTCGACGTGAATTGCAGCGCCCACGATTCGCGCCGGTCGTCCCAAGCTTTCTGCAAGGTTTCGACAGCTTTCTGCGAGTGCGGCAAACAAAATTGCGGACTTGTTGCTAGATGATGGAGATATACTTAGATGACAAAAACCAGAAGTATGTACCTACAATGTGGGGCCCCCCAGTTATGTTTGTTGGTTTTTAAGCCCCAGTAACTATATAGTTATAAGTACCATAAACCATAGTTATTGGAGTTATAAACCAATTTAGCTATCTAGGGGGCCTCACATTGTATGGATGGATCTGGTGTTCTAACCAAATAAAAAATGGGATGAACATTGGAATATTATGGACACAAAAGCGGATACATATAGTCATCCGGGAGTGAATATGGAATTTTCAATAAATCCTCATCGCAAGTGAATATGGAATTTTCAATAAATATTCATCGCAAATATTCGCAGATCAAATTTAAATCAACCAATTCCATTAAATCCCACAAAATTCTCATGTCATATACGAATTCTATTAATATATCCATTGGATTACCATATCATAATATGTATATATATATATTACAATTATATAACAATAATGATATCCATGTATTATATTACCATATAATTTAATAAGATTCCCTTAATTGTTCACCAAATTTCATGAAATCCCATGAAATTTCCATATATCCATTGGGTATCCATCCGTTTTCGAGGCGATGATGGAGCAAGGATCTCCACAGCCCCTCGGCCCACCCTGCAAGTGCCATCACGAGCCCCAGGTGCGGAGCGGAAGCCGAAAGATGCAATGAAAATCTGCGGTAAACACATACAGTGTGGGGCCCCCAAGATAGCTAAGTTGGTGAACAGAACTACAATCACTGTTGTGTTTATGGTTGTTATGACAATGATGTTAGATGGGGTTATAGACCAACTTATAACTACCTACGGTAGGGGGCCCACATTGTATAAACACCAGGAAAATGGAGCTTCATCTTGATTTCTTCAAATCTGCTCCGTTTGGGAACATGTGTAAAAAATTGGATTCGGTCTTGACAGGATCGGAAATATCGGCGTTATCCACCGATGTTCAATGATATTCACCATTCAAGCCATGAAGCATCATGAAGCATACAATGTGGGTCCCCCAAACGTTATGTTTGTTGGTTTAGATTCGCCCCAGTAACTATAGTTAACAGTTATAAGTACCATAAACCATTTCGTGAAATTGGAGCTATGTGAACCCCAACTGAACGCTATCGTGGCCGGGGGCCTTACATTGTACCATTGCTGAATGGTTATAGGAGTTTATACTACCTTTCTGAATTGGGGATTACGACAGGCCATAGGAACATGTGAAGCCCCAGATTTCAGGCAGCCCCTCCGGTCCATGTTTTTGCCCGAAGGCAAAGATCTGGTAGCGTTCATCCGTGATGTTTCGGGTGAAGGACCAGCCACCTGGTGTCCACACTGAGGGCTTCAAAAACGGTAGGTGTTAACCCACTCCAAATAGACACGTGCTAGCATTTCTGCTGGTTTTAGATGCGGTTTCAAACATAAAAGAGAAAACGTAGGGTTTCAGGTTGTTTGCACAAGTCATATATAGTCTTGAAGACCAAACAAGAAGCGGCATGCATGGAATTACGATTTGTCAACCAAAACAGAAGAATACATATTGATATACCATCATAAACATATATATCTGGTTGGTGGTTTGGAACATTTTTTCCATATATTGGGAATAATGGTTCCAACTGACGAACTCATATTTTCAGAGGAGTAGGTTGAAACCACCAAGCAGCTTTTGTTTACACATGCAAGTGTATATCCATGAAATAAACCCATCAGTTAACCATGTCTATCCCAACTCGGCGATCACTTTTTTCAGTGCAGTTCCTGTTTTAAGTTGCTATATAACCTCAGTTAAGTTGGGCCCCCATTTCCCAACAAACATGTTTGTTTTTCTGCCATTATACCAGAGGGTATCATCCATTAATATAACATTAATATCCCATATCCCCTGAATATATCATGAATTTCCTTATGAAAAAACATATAACTGGTGATGTTCGTCCTAGTCTCTTAAGTGACCCCAGGCCTGCACCCCCGACATCGTCGCAATGGTCGCAACAACAGGATTGGCCTTGGGTCTATCTCCAGCAGCCGCCTCGGCTGCCGGATTCTCCGCCGTCGGGCCTTCAGCGGCCAGCGGCATTTGGGAAAAGGCGAAAACGCGAAGCATGGGATGCTTTTTGTGCCGCCAAAACAGAGGATTTCTGGTTGGTGGTTTGGACCATTTGGATTATTTTTCCATTCAGTTGGGAATGGAATAACATCCCAACTGACGAGCATATTTTTCAGAGCGGATGAAACCACCAACCAGATTTAATTCACGAAATTCGGATTTAATCAAAAGAAAGAGGGTTTTACCAGCAAAAGATCGAAAACATGTGGATTAAACCTCCAAAAAAATCACGCAGAAATTAGGATTCAGCAAACAGAATTGGAAAGTGTGAACAGTAAAAGTGACGGTTTGACCATGAAACATATGGATTCATCATGTCATCTATGTAAGCATGTCATGCCGTTGGATTTAGGTTTCATTTGGTTTGTAGCTACCACTGGATTTGTGGGTATAGGGTGGTGGAGGTGAATGTGGAGGAGGCGAATGTCCTTTACCATGAGGATTTTGGTCGAAAAACGTTTTTTTCTCTGATTTGCCATGGTGGCAACAAGATGTTCACGTATTCAATAAGATCAATCATCCACAAACCATTCACGAAAGAAAAGGGAGAAGAATTGAAGATAAGTAGAAAGGGGTGAGAAGACGGGAAGGCGGTTAATCAGGATAGATCAATAGGAAGCCAGAAGTGTTGAGAATTAAAAGGTTAAGACGATTGAAGAAGATGTAAAAGAGTTGCGGATAGTTGAACCGAGGTAAAAAGAGTTAATGATTACGAAAGAATTGCCTGGAAATAAGACAAACACAAGTTGAACAAGTCACAAACAGCGAGCGAAGGGGAGGAGAGTTGAACAAGTTTGCGCTTGAAATGAGTTCAACCGAGCTGAAAAGAATTTGGAAGAGTTGAGCTGAGGTGAGAAGAGTTGAGACGAGTTGAGAAGAATTGAGAAGAGGTGGAGAGAGATTGATGAGAGTCGTTGAGAAGAGTTGACAAGAAGTGAGAAGTCGTGAGAAAAGTTGAAAAGAGGTGAAAAGAGGTGGAAAGATCTGAAAAGAGGTGCAAAGATCGTTGAGAACAGTTGAGGAAAGTTGTGAAAAGAATTGAGAAGAGCCGAGACCTGTGAGAAGAGCTGCGAAGAGCCGAGAAGTTGTTGCCGCAGTTGATAAAGATTGAAACAAGAAGAGGACGAACTCACAGAACAGAGTTGAGAAGATGTGCTGAGGCTTCCGTCCAGCTCCTATAGGCAAAACTTGTTTTTCACTCTTATAGTGAACATGCCTTGCTGCTGGAAACTTCCGCCACCCGCCTCGTGCGGGTTCAACTTGTATGGATGATAATGGCATATTAGCGGGATGACATTAATGGGGACATTGATCTGGGCAAATTATAGTGACCTCACGTCGTGACCAAACCCTGGCGGACTTCTTACAAGTTTCGTCTCGTCAGAGCGCTTTAGGCGTGGCTACAGCTCAGTCACGTGCTCTGACTTGGGTGGCCAAGTATGCAGGCTTTGCTGTTCTCAAGGAGGCCCTTGCCTCTCCAGTTGTGAAGTTATACACCGTGCCCTCTGAATCCGAAACATCTCTTATTTTGACCCACACCTGCCACACGGATGAAAAAGCGTCCGATGTCCTGCACCTGCAACGGAAGACGACGTTCCAGACTTCAAAATGTCCCGCAAGTGCCGCGCCTGCCACGAAAAATCGTGAAAAATCGACATAGCCCCCAAAAAGAGCACGGTGCGCTGGTAAAACAAAACCTTCGGAAGAGAGGTCTCCGGGCAACCATTTCGTGCGAGACTTCCTTCGAAAGCGGAAGACGGACAGGGATGAGAACACCTCGGCTGAACACTATAGGCCCTAACAACTATATAAGAACCCCGTGGCTACACCGTTTGACCTCTCAGTTTTGTCGTCTTCCTGGAATCACAAATTTTGAAGGAAGTTGGCACTGCAGCTGATTGACTGCCTATGGGATGCATCTTGGTCCTCATTTGGAGTTCGCTTCGCTGGAGTGATGCTATGTGGGTGGCTCCTGCCTCACTCACTGTGGAGGAGGACACGATCCGAGGAATGGCCACGAAGACAAAGACAACGCTTAGAGGCATGCCTTTTGCTTTCTTGACCTATATGGTCATCTTTCGTGGCGCAATATTTGGTGAACTTGTGGTAAAGGGTCAAAGTCTTGTTTCGAGAGACTGTCGTCATTTTTGATTGCGGACATGATGATGATTCCGCGTGGCAGGTGCAACGCTTCGGATTCCTCGGGCTCATTATTTGCGGCAGGCGCAGTACTATGTAGACCTCAAAACAAAACACTGCCGGAAACGTAGGTAGAACATGGTAGAACATCATTTTGGACATGTTCAATGCTCATTTTTCGTGGCACGCCCAATGTTTTGTGAAAATCTATAACATGTGCTTGTGCAGCCGTCTCGTGACTTTGGGCGTGTCGGATCGCTCTGGTTGAGGCGCGGTGCGAATTGTGAGATCGCTCGCGCACCTCTCTCGGCACTTTGGGCGTGTCAGATCGTTCTCGTTGTGGCGCTGTGAGAATTTGCTTTTGCTCACGCAACCTTCTCGGCATTTTGCGCGTGTCAGATTGCTCTCGTTGTGACGCGGTGCTGATTTTGATAATCAAGGAGATCTTGTGCAGAGATCTTGACAAGGATGTCCTTTATAGAGAGCTTGCGCAGAGGTCATGCCACGGAGATCTCTTATATAGAGATCTTGTACAGATACAGAGACCTCTTATATAGTGCAGAGATTTTGCCGAGATGTCTCTTACATAGATTTTGCCAAGAGAGCTTTTATAGAGAGCTTGTACTAAGATTCTTCAATTATAGGGAGCTTTTGAAGCGATCTTTCTTCGAGATCTCTTACACAGATCTTCTGTGGAGAGCTCTTATAGACACCTTGCACAGATAGCCTTACAAAGGGATCTTGCACAGAAGCTTCTACAGAGAACCTGCCAAGGAGATCTTGCACATGATCTTCTACAGAGATCTTCACAAAGGGAACTTGCAGAGTCTAAACTGGTATCTCTTCTTCATGTTCCTTGCAACACTGTTTGGGGTCTTGCCTGGATAATTTGTTCCGAAGTTTGGAACCTAACTTCTTTCCATGAATTAAAGCTATAGATTTCCCAATTGAAATGGCCAAAGAAAAAGAGCATGATCCCCCATTTTGAGCCACGCCTATATCCCAGATCGTTGCTTGCATATCCCCTTAAGTTCCGTTCTAAAATCGCCATATCATAAACCATATTAACCACCATTAAACATCAGTAGGCCCTTATGGTCACGATGGTTGCTGGCCAATCATGAAACCTTTAGACAAACCGAGGTTCAGTCTACAAATCCAATCTTCTGATGAACTTTAATGCCGATTTTTGTCGGTTTTGCCCCCTTATTTGTCAGTGTGCTTTTCATGTCTTCAATCCTTAATTACACTTGTTCAATCCCAATTTTTGTTGGTTAAATTGCGTGGATGCATCTCTATATTCTATATTAGCCCCTGTTGAACAACTTTTATAACTAGATCAGTATATAACTACTGCTTAAAAGCCAATTATAGATGGACAAGTTGTTATGGTTGGTAAATCCATTGCAAACCCCATTTTTGCCGGGCACTCGGAGAATCATCCCACTTGGTAATTTATAACCTAATCCACTTGGGGGACTTGCTAACCAGGCTTAGGACCACTTACTAGGTTTGATGATCCTCCAAGTTGGTACCTTTTTTCCTGTTTAAATCCTCCTCTTCCACGACCAGGTAGAGATCCTTCCGTGGACCTTGCTACATCCGCAGCCGAATCTCGTCGGAGGGTAGAGTTGAAGCAGGGAATTGATGGGGAATGGTGTCTATATCAAGGGGCTTATGCATTCAAACCTACCAATGTAGGAAGCCCAGCAATAAATCTACCGTTTGGGGATGGTTGCTTATTGACTTTACCTGATTACAACAGATATCTATTTACCATGGCGTCAAGCAAATTATAGTAGATAGAGACCACGGTTAGACCGTTCATGGGATGAGCATGGTTTAAAGCGGGGTTAAAATGAATATGGTGGGGTTGAGATTTGGCAACACTATTTATACAAAAGGGATTGAATATAAATATATATATATTGTTTATAATATATATATATATATGTATATGTATATGTATATAATTTATATATATACATGCACATGTGTATTAACTCGTGATTTGCGTAATCGATAATGACCTTGGTTTTCACGGTTTGCACATTGTGTATAAGGACGACATATTCACATAGCATTGCGATTATTGGATAGCCGCTGTTTATGGGGGATATAATCGTATATTCGGTGTGTATTTGGTATAATGTTCGAAACCATGATCAATCAGGTGGTTGTATCCTACTCATCGAAGGAAGTCAAACGTCCGACAACATGGACAGATGAAGCTTCCAGATAGATAGGTAGTTAGATAAGATAGATAGATTGATTGACTGAATGATTGATAGATAATGATACATTTATTTCTATACATTCATATTGTGTTCAATCAAATGCAGCACCCTGCCACTTCGCCCGACGCTGTAGAGCAATGGCGCTGAGCAGATCCGGATGGCAAGTTGAAGTCTTGAGAAAGGAGAAGCCCCGTTTGCACGTGAACTATTTCCATTTGCGTGCCATCCTGAGGCTTACGTTTTTCCATTAGACGCTGAGCAGGTATAAAGAAACCAAGAAATCCAAGAAATGCAATGACAACAACTTGTTGTTTTGATACCTTTCTGTGAATTTTTCGTCCTTGCCTCGAGGCATCACACAATCTGGATTTGCTGCAACTGTGGACATTATGGACTACGACAAGGGTTGCAAGAAGAGGCGGAAAGGATTTGCGTGCTTGGGCTGCATCCCAGGCCGCCGTCAACCATTAGAAAAAGGTGCTTGTCTGTGTTTACATGGAGACCCGGAAGCGCCAATTGTCAGGGTGACACAGTGCAGGCAAGGCTACATCATTTGCAGCCCGTCGGTGATGCCCAAGGCAGCACATTACCTGAAGGAGGCAGTGGGCACCGCTGCTACCTTGGCGGAGCAGCTAGATGCTCGTGTGGCACAGCTTACATGATTCAAGGGCTTGACCGCATTTGTGTTTTCTGCTGCTGCTATCCCCCAATCCGCCCCGCGCTGCCCTGCTAGGTTCAAGCCGTCGCGGACCTGCGGCCATTCTTGTCTTCACCTGACAGCGCTGGGCTGGACTTTTCCGGTGGAGCCGATCCTCCGGCATAAGTTCTACGTTGAGGGTTGGTCCGGGGTGTAAATTTTGTAGGTCGCCTATCCCTCCAACTATGTATATTTTGGGTTGGGACACTTGGGGTCGTAGCAGGTCTTGCGTTTCATATACCGAAGAAACCCAGAAAATAGCATGATTTGTGTGTTTCTTTTTTCCTTGTGTTTTTTTATGAATATGTTTTTTATTCTGACTTTGTTTTGTTTTTTTCTATGATTATTGTGACTATGTTGTTATTGTTGTTATTATCGTTAATTTATTGTTTATTTTTTGATTATTTTTGCTTATTTATATATACATGTCTTTTTGTGACCCGCTAGCCAAGGTTCAGCATCAGCACCCCTGTTCGCAGGTCGGTGCCCCAAATCAGGGATGGAGCCAAGTTCTTGCGGACGTGGTGGAGCCACACTCGTCTTTGCCTTGGGCCCCTTCAAGATGGCTGCGAGACGATCTAGAGGCCGAGCATGTTCTTCAGCCTCCCGTATCACGGAGTCATGGTCAGTGTCAAGCCATGGGTAGAGATACCACCCTTCATGACAACAAAAGAATCACATTGAAAGTATCACCACGCAAGATTTAAGAGAACCAAGCTTCACCCATTCCCCGTTGCGTGTCAGGCATGACCTCCAAGCGGCTGCGCTGAACTCTCGCTGCTTCGCTGCCCAGCCAGAATTTTGAAAAATGGATGCTCATTATCCGGGCCGCGGCTGCATTGCAATCTTCTAAATTGCAAATTCAAGATAATTTATACATGCTGTTTATTTGCAACTGCGGGAAGTTTCAGAATTGATGCTTGGTAGGCGCATTGCCAGGTGTGGTGGCTTAAAAATTGCTAGAAGCAGTCAGATGTGCAATAACTTCATGCATACATTGAAAAGGTACTTTACACTACCCAGGGGTTAGCAGAGCTGAGGTTTTACACAACCCTTTTAAAGTTGCTGTGCTTTGCTCTTTCGCTCGTGCGTCAGGTGCTGATATCCGGATGCCCCTCTACCAGATCCAGTTCTGTGGCAATGCGTAGCGTTCCTTCACCTACCAGGCGTTGACCTCCGTGAAGGAGTTGCTGGAGAAGGGGGACGATCAAGAAGTCAAGACGCTGGGTGATACGGAAGCCAAATGGCTTGTCCGGATCATTACTGGCGCGCCGCAGTCAACCGGACGCTCTGATCCAGACAAAGTTGGCATTTCTGAGTGGGCCTAGAAGTGATCCACAAGACCTTGGAGATGAAGGCGCGGGGACAAAGGTTTGCAGAGACGCTGCCGCAGTTGAAGGTCTGGACGCCTGGGGCATTTGCTTTTCAGCTCCCTGATCCCTGGACAGCGTGCAAGGGTACAGAGGTTGGGCCTCCTGCGCCTTTCAATGTGCAGCCCCCGCGTGGAAAGCGGCATGTTTCTGCACGGTTGGAGCTGCAGCCAAAAGAGAACGAGCAAGACTGTGACAAGGACGAGCCGGTGAAGTACATGCTGTCTTTCCTCGGCGGCATCTATCCTTTCAGAACCACTTTTGGAAGTTGAGTTCGAAAAAGTGCACGCTGCTGCGGCGCGAAGCACATGTCCACGTGAAAAGTGTTAAAATCTGATGAGATTTGGACGTTGAGATGTCGAAACAGTGCACGCCGCTGGGGCGCGAAGCACATTTCCAAGTCAAAAGCGTTTAAAACTAGCGGTTTCGGAGCATTTTTAGAAGTTGAGATGCCGAAAAAGTGCTAAACCTCCTCGTGGCTCGAAGCACGTTTCCAAGTGAAAAGCGTTAAAAAACTGATGGTCTCCTATAGGTTTCCTATCTTTGAAACTTCCACCGCCGTCTTGTGCGGTACATGTCATGACTGGTATGAGAAAATAACCAATAAAGGAATTATGATGGGTTTATGCCACCTCATTTAAGGGGATGTAATGGGATATCACCTGGGTAAATGATGCTGCGACCCCATTTCGATGTCACTAGAAATGACGCTTATGAAAACTTCCCCCCGTTTTGGCTCGGTGACCCACCCAATGATGGCTGCTTGAAAGAAGCCCTTAAAAAAGTCATTGTTGGTGGCTAATAAGCCTTTTACCCTTTGGTAAAAAAACAGTTTCTGGAAAAATCGCAATTTTTTAAAAGCTGCTTCATCGAACTAAATGGGCCATGGCTTTCATAGCTTCGAGTCACCTTTGGGGCGGCTTGTCTGAACCCCACTGACTTCAGCTTGGTGCTATTTGGTGCTTATAATTTCCCCAGGTGGATGCCCTATGGAGTGGCTTGATTTGGGTATCTCTGACAAGGGATAAAATGGGGCTATGCCCCACATGATACTGCTTCAAAATAGGAAAATGATGGAAATATATGGGAAACCACACCGCTTGGATTTTGAGGTAGCTTATTTACCATAGTTGATGAACTGCTGATTTTCAGATTTGCTTTGCTATAAAATGATGGATAAATGCTGACAAATCCATTCATGACAGGCATCCTTTTTGACACGTTTTCGATCCAACCTGGGATCATGATCCGTTGCAATTTTTCATGTGAGTTTCACCAATGATCCACTTTTTAAAAGTTTCAGCCCTGAGGGTAAAACACGATTAAAAACCATTGAACCCATGGAAAATCACCATTCAGTCCAATTAAATCCTATTAAACCTTAGTTTTTGAAAGTTTGAATACTGAGGAAATAGTTAGTACCGTCTGGTCATTGAACGTAGCAAACTGGAAGCCACGATTTTTGGCAAATCATCAGTTTTGTCATGGATCAATGGGGCCATCTATGCCATAGCTATGTAATAAACAACCAGAGGGTAAATCACCGTTGAAAACTACTGAATCCCATTATATCACAACTGAAGCTAATTAGATCATTCTTAATTTCCGTTAAATGACCGTTAAATCACTGTTAAATGACTATCAAATTCTATTAAGCCCTATTTTCTCATTCAAATCACCTATTTGGGATTGAGGACCTAGATAAAATGGGGATCCTGAAATCGCCTGGCGTAGACTGGGACGGATGTTAGCCATCCACTTGGATCTATCCCAGCATTTTCAGGGTAAAAGGATCCCCATGGCTTAGTTAATGTATTGGGGGGTACCCCATTTGATGAACACGATTAACACATTGATTATAGGCATTTTGATGTAAAGATACTGTAGTGACTAGATTGATTTAAGGGAAAGCCGAAACCGGAAACCATGGATTTTCCAACAAAAAACATGTTGGTGTCCATGCAAAATGTCCCTTAAACCAATCTAATCGTGTATACTTTAATCAATACATATCCCATTAAAAGTTCCGAAGTTTTTGCAGCGGATCACCCAAAAAAATGTTTGGGTGAATAGGATTAAGAAGAATATGCCTAGCTAAAAGCTCCGTTATTCAAACCTTTGCCCACATGGGGAGATACAGCACCAAGCCTGAAAATTGTGGGACCTGCAAGATTCACCATGGAACGCGGTAATGTGGAAACTCAATGTCATAAACCGTTCCAGTCAGCAAGGATAAAGGGTGGTCAAAATGAACATTATCCCATTACTAGGGCATAGAAAGTGATGACAAATGGTCCAGTTGAAAATGGCACCAATAGGAATGTAGTCCTCATATTTTCTTGAAGAGAGGTCCCAGCTAAATTTCACGAATCCTTAGAAGCTATTAATTGACGCAGCTCGATTGAAATTTGATAAGAGAAGCTAGCCAGCAAGTTTGGTCCTTTTTATATTTATATATATAGATATATAGATATATATATATATTATTTGTTTTTTGTATTCTAAAAGAGATAGTATATGTATGTATATCTATTATTGTTGGTATACCACAAGAAATTCGCAAGTCTGTGACTTTTCCCTGCCCATCGGGGAAGGTACGCATCATTGATAAATGATGCACACCACATGTTTGACGAGCAAGAGCTATTACAAGGTGGTGCCCCCTGGTTATAAGTTTTTTTGTCAGCCATTAACTATAGATATAATCCTAATAAACCATAGTTTTTGGAGCTCTACACTAAGTTAGCTAACTATGGGGCACCACCCTGCGCCATGCTGCGATCAAGCTTGAGTTTGCTATCACGTTTTATCCAAGTGCTGCTGCTGACGTGGTAACTTGCAGATCTTGCGGCAATCAATTCCACGTAGACGCGAGGTACGCCGAAGTATCGTTGAACCCTTCGGACTTGGATGGGCATTCCACTTAGAGCGATATATTTATACGTGGCATATACCCCAGTCAGAGTCATGGTTTATTGGCTACTTACTCATATTGGACCTTTGCGCAACAGATCCAAAAGACAGACCACTTGGCCCGCCTGGATTCGTTCCGGACAAGGTCGCGCATGGACTTACTGAAGCCTGCGAAAAAGAAACGTCCACTATATACCTTTGCTTCCCCAAACCTCAACCCCAAGGTTTAATTCAGCCGCGCTGATTAACGAATATAAGATGGGAATATACCTGTTTTAATATGGTATTCAGGTGGGAATATACCCATGATAGTCTGGTATTGATGAAAGTTTAAATCTCCATGACTTACCCCCAAAGTAGGTTCCTCTGACCCATTTTGTTTACCATGGTTTTACCAAACATCATAACCATTGTTCTTCCCAATGATTTACCACCAAAAGAGTATTGTTTAATAAGCTTTAAGTATGGGATAAACCATAGTTTAAAAGCATCCGTAACCACATATATATATATATACAACCCCAAGAATTACTTTAGCCATGGTTTATCCCCATTACATACCCCAAAATCCCCTATGGTCCATCTGATACCCGAGGCCCTCCTGGGAAGGCGCCGCCTGCACGGTGCGATGGCGCTTCCATGTGGTGGACCTTCGTGGCCTGGCGATGTGACCGATGTGACCTGGGTAAACATCCCCAATCTGGGATGAGTACTTTATAATCCTTTGGTTTTTTTCTTTGCATGGAAAATAACCATAACCAGCAAAATATGTTTCACCAACATTAACCTGTGATATGGGGATATGTGAATTTTATATATATATGCGATGTTTATATATATATGAATGTATTTGTTATATATTTTTCCGATATACATATGTTTATATCTATACGATTTTGATTTATATTTATACGTGATTTATTTTTATATACCGCACATGTAAACTTACAATACTTGAATATATATATATATTTATATATATATATATTTATTTATTTGATATATATATATATTTATATTTATATTTATTTATTTGATTTATATATATATATTTATTTATGTATTTATGATATGTATTCTAAAAAAAAGTATATACGCTTTTTTATTTAGAAGGGACTGTTTTTTGTTTTTTATATCATTGGTATGTCATTTTTGTTTTATATCAATATATGTATGATTATTTTATTTATTTATTTTCTATTTTTTATTTATTGTTCTTATTTATTCTTTTTGTTTTTTATTCATATGATATATATATATATATAGGTATATGTGATATATTTGTTTTTGTATATATATATATTTACGATTTATTTATTTATACCAAATATATATATATATATGGTTTTATTTTATGTATATATGTATATGACATATGTTTTTCAACGATATAGATGGTAAGTATCACTAGATAGATGGGAGCTTTTTAGATGGCAGCTACTTTTTGATCAGTCTTCGAAAGCCTGTTGGTTTATGATGGTTGTAGGGGATGGTACTACCTTTTGTCTATTGGAGATTTGAATAGTCCAAGAACGGTGGAACCCTTACTAACGAACCAGGAACAACAAAGGGAGTTTGAACGCTGCTGAATTTGGGTGATAAAACGAAACCAATACTGAACCAGATTTTCCTGAGGAATAATGTGGTGAACCCCAAAAGAAATGGCAGTCAGCAATGGAAATCACACTCAGACAGTAAAACATGTCATTATGTAGAATTATCTCTAAAAAACTCTATATTTAGCGAATCCGAGATTGAATCATAGGTCCATATAGGTGAATTTTACCAGTTAGGTCAGCGTGCAAAATGTACACGGTGTGGAATTCAAAGGATTACTGGGACGCACTCTCCAAGCTCACAGGTTTGGCGATGTTCCTACGGCACTCCATCTTCCCATCGAAGACCAGCTGCTCATCCTGACAACATGCCACGACCTGCTTGTAGATGCCCAAGTCGGTGAACATGCATATGTGCTGGTGTTCGCTTGGAGGCTGGTCACAGACGCATCAGAACGTGGCATACTGTGAGATTGGAGGATAAACTGGAGAACGGGTAGCACACGTGAGGACTCCTCGAAACCGACGGCAGCACTGCATTCAGGTATGATTCTAATCTGTGCTGCAAACTTCATGATAATATGATAATTGCCAGCCTGATCGATGGACATTAAAGTTCATTAAAGGCCATAACTGGATGGTTTCTTCAAGCTGACTTGGATTTGTCGTGTCAATGTTGCTGGTGAAGAAACGAATCATGGTTTGGTGATGAATGTGTTGAAAATGATGATACAACTGAGTATGAAAAGAACGATAATGTTGCTGATCACACCATGCCGAATCACAAGGGTCAGCAGGATGCAACCAGTTGTAATACACGGCCCTGATGTGTGTGCGAGGCAGGGTCACCAACATTTTATAAGTCAGCCAACTTCACAACTTGACATGGGAAGTAGCTTTCTCAATTATGAAAAAAGAAATTAGTTTCAACTACGAGTAGTCGCTTTGGCCACTTGCAGATTTCTATCTGTCTGGGATAATTGTTTGATTTCTTGCCTCGTCTGCCTCGTGACTTTCATGTGGATTTGGGATTTGTGTTTAAAAACCAGAGCAACTAGTTCAATATATCTGCCATAAACCCAAGTAAATTTCGAAGCATGTTTGCAAACTTAGCTAACTGAAACGTTAGGAAAGCAATAGTAAACCATCCACAAATTTACAGTACCATTCTTATGGGTGGTACAAACCATCCAAATATGGGTGGTTTATGATTGCTTGCTTTACTAGCAATTAAATCAGTTTGGGAGGTCTTTCTTATCATTGGGTAAATATGCATGTAGGCCGCTAATGCTTGAAAAATCCTTGGAAATGTCCAAAGAAATCTCCAACAATTGCCGTCCAATCAATTTCTAGCCTCCTCTAAACTAGCATAGATGTGGTTTTTCCCGCAATTTTGTAGATCCTTTTCCCAGGGTTTCCCCATGGCGTTTCCGGTGTTCCACGTATTTTTTGCGAGTTTCACCGTTGCGGAAAATTCACCGAGGTGCAAAGCCCACTGAGTTCCACGCAGGAAACAAGAACACCTGGCACCGTGTCTGATGTGGCCCCAAAAATGACGATCTGCACGGGGAACATGTATCTGGGTAAATTATAATAATTCACAAACCTGAAATGTTGGGCAATTTTGGGATGATTCCTCTTACTAACCATGATTCCAGGGCTCGGGAGAACAGTGAGGTCGTGATCAAATTTACCCAGATGGAAAAGCACGGATGGAATGGACGTAGCCTATTTTTGTAACCTATTTTCAGATTTCGGAGAAAAGCCCATACTGTTTGGTGGTTTGGAACATGGATGGATTATGACTTTCCATTCAGTTGGGAATGGAATAACATCCCAACTGACGAAGGGTTGAAACCACCAACCAGCATGTATCCACTATCCATTTGGAGAATGGGAGGTGGCCTAGGTCATGCGGGTACTAGTTCGAAACCATCCAGCTATAGGCTATACGTGAATATCAATTGAAACTTTGGGAAACCGATGCTCTCGGCTGGTCGCCCCTCGTCTGATGCCACCGTTGGAACCTGAGGCGCTTCAATGACGGTGCTGGCTATTGGTCCCAGATGAAAGTCTTGCCAGGCGGGGCCTCCACTAAGATCCACTGATTCACAGCAAAAATGTCGGAGATCCGTTGATATTTAATGGTGTTTTCTATCATCAACAAATGGGGATTTAATGAGATCTAATGAGAATTCATGTGAATTAATGGGATCTAATGACTGGTATATCCTACATGATGGTTTTGCTTAATGTTAATTATATGCTGGAATGACCCAACCTTTGGACTTGATTGATTGACTTCGTTATATACTGCTTGGTGGTTTGGAACATTTGGATTATGACTTTCCATTCAGTTGGGAATGTCATCATCCCAACTGACGAACTCCATCATTTTTCAGAGGGGTGGGTATACCACCAACCAGGTTGATATCCTACATGATGGTTAATTTTATGCTGGACATCCATTGATATTCCAGTGTGGTTGGATAACCGTAGTTGAATATTATGTTTTATTATCTAGTAAGGCATGATACTGGGATGATAAAAGGGATATTGATGGATTTACTCTTGGTGTCATCAATGATGGCGGACCACTGGGAAATCCCCAAACTAAATGGAGGTTTAATTTGCTGGGAAATTTTCCCGCAATCCATTAGTTGTAGTTAGGATCTTAAGGCTTTCCGGAGTATCCTACTAATTACTCGAGGTAGAAATGGCTGCATAGAATGTGGGTGTGTCTGGGAATTGGGTTTGTCGGACAATTGGATACCCCCAAAGCGGTTCAGCTTCATCAGGAACATGATGTTCAACTATTGGATTTTGAAATATTGCAATTTCAGACCCACTTTTCCGAAAATTGCCCAGATACACTTTGAAAGTGGCTGCATTTTACCTGACAACAATGGCAATTGTTAGGAAATATTAGGGGACGTTCATTTTCTGACGAAGCCCATGGTGAGGCATTCTCACCGTGGAGATGTACATGGAGCGAACGTTGCCTCTGCAAGTTGAGCTGGGAGTCATGAGAAATGCGCCATCAGCCACTTGCTTCTGAAAGAGTGTGGGTTTGTGAATATCATATCTGATTGGTGGTTTGGAACATTTTTAAGTTTTCCATATATAGGGAATGTCATCATCCCAACTGACGAAATCATATTTTTCAGAGGGGGTAGGTATACCACCAACCAGATGGTTAACTATTGTATATACAGCTGATGGGATTTCAGAAACCAACTTTTGCTGATATTTTCATATGGGGATGGGTCAAAATGGTCAAGCTACCAAGGAATTTACCATATGATTTGGGAAATCACCATCCAGCAGCCAGCTAGACCCATGACCTGGCTGATGGATTCAGAAATCAGCTACACTCTGGGTATGACTAGCCATAGGCATGGAAGCCATGGCCCATAGAAATAGATGGTTTACCGAACTTAAAAATGGTGGATCTTTCCATGGTAAACTGTTAGATAACCAGATGCTAATATTTTTGAAGCAATGTCATAAACCCACCCAAAAATGTCCCCCTTCGCTCTTATTTGTTCACAGCAGTGCACTTTGCCCAAAATGGTCAAGACAACCCTTACACGCGCAATCTGTCAGAAACGGGGATACAGCCTTTGCAGCTTTGCAAACTGCCCAAGCTGGACAACAGCCCCACAGTGAAGAGTACATCCCTTAGAGACAATGACCTGCCTATACAGTGGACAATGCAGCCTCTACATCATTGTAATCTGTCAATATAGTTGTATATATGGGGTTTTCCTAAACTAGTGCTACCCCCAAATCATCCATGTTAATAGGATTTTCCATTATTAACCATCCATTTTGGGCACCCTGAAATCGTCCATTTTTGGGGGTGGATTTTCCATGAAATAAACCATCCATCCAGCAAGCTCGCTTGGGGTACCAGGGGTACCACCATGAAACCTGGAGATCCTGGGCCCCGCAGATGTACTGCTCTTCACCCGCAGGGTGATACTTCCCAGAAGCCACCTATCAAGAATACTCATATGAAGTTTTTTCAAGAATGGGTGTACCCCTAGTTATCATCCATTTTAGATCAAGATTTTCCATTATAAACCATCCATTTTGGGGTACCGGCAAAGACACCAGCGGATATGGCTGGTGCCACTTCGAAGCAATCCCCGCCAGTGGATGTGACTGCAGGCCCTTCGAAGGCAGCCTCATCGAAAGGCTCCTTGCCACCTCCGTTGCCGAAGGGGCCGCTGCCAAAGCACTTGACGAAGGCGACCTTGCCCCCACCGCCGCCTGCGCGTTGGCCTGCTCAGCCAAGGAGCAGCGGCCGAGGGCATCGACACAACCCTTGCCAGGAACGCCGTGAAGCTGCGCAATCTGTGGTAGCCACAGAACGACTCCGAGTGGAGACCTTTGGCCATCAGCAAGGACTACTAGGGCAAAGCAGTCAGCACTCCCTGCAGTTGCAAGCCCAGCAACACAAGCAGAAAAAAAAATACCCACTTTTGGTGGTGCCCTTCGTTACCAGTACAGCCAGGTGGCGATGGCAGCGCAAGTTCTGAGGACGCTGGAAGCTGATGCAAGACGTGCCGCAGACCTGTTGCGGGAGGCGAGGTACCTAGATCGATATATCTACCATAAAAGCCAACAGTTTTCTGCTGTCCACCAACTTCGCCATCAAACTGGGGGTTCACCACCTTGTGTCTAATGGATGGTATCACGATGGTGATGATTTGACATTTGGTTGTTGAGATATTTCCCATTATGTATATCTGGGTAAATTATAACGACCTCACTGTTCTCCCGAGCCCTGGAATCATGGTTAATAAGAGGAATCATCCCAAAATTGCCTTATTTCAGGTTAGTGAGTGATTATAGTTTACCCAGATATATGTATAGTAAATCACCATTATGAATGTGAGAAATAATTGCCTGGTTGATTGTATGCCCTACATGCATTGCCCATAGGAAATACCGATATCACCATTGGAATAGGTATAACTGATTTATATCCCTTTGTATATATTGGGATCTATTATGTTTATTCTATTTTTGATTTTTAGAGATCATACCCATACCCCAAAATAATAGGATGTAGACCCTACTTAGTCCGATGATTTTCCACATCTAAGAAAAATATGTATAGACTGATTTTATTTCACCATTGGTATGTTTCAATACCCATTGATCATGAGTATGTATCATCCGATAAATGTGGGACAACACTAAATACCCATAGTAATCATATATATATACATATAGTAAATATGACTATATAAACCATTCAATACCATGTTAAATTACCATTGGCCTTTTATTTTGTGGTGATTTCCCATCATCATATAAAGCCATATAACCAATATAACATCATATCAAACTACCATTTAATATAAACCATATATTTCCAAAATATACTTGGTGTAAGTAGCTTAGCTCACCCTAACTATCAATGTGGGGCCCCCGTTCGATAGCTAAGTTGGGGCTCACATCACTCCAATTTCACTATGGTTTATGGTACGCAAATAACGAACTAGTTACTGGGGCGAATCTAAACCAACAAACATAACTGGGGGGGCCCCACATTGTATCAATGGCTGTTTTGTAGGGAAAATGTCCAGCCACCACGTCCTGGGGAGTTCACCTCCGCTAGGACTCGGAACCAGAGGTGCGCGCCGTGCTGCTGTCGGATCAGCTCTGTATGTGCTGCTTGGAGTGATGGGATGGGAAATGATGGGAAGGATCCCCGAGAAAAGATGTGGATGTGAACTGCAAAAATGGCGATATCACCGAGACAAGTGGTGATTTGACCTAGGAAAATGGGAATTGAAGTTTAAAAAAGTGTTGGTGATAGTGGTGCCAATGGTAAAAGTGAGGAAATTCTTTGGGACTTCAGCTACAAACAATGTGGTAATTTGGGGTGAGACAACACATGGGATTGAACCAACAGCAATGAGGGCATGGTATCCATCCCCAATAACCAACCATGACTGGCGGTCACTTCAGCTAACGAACTGGGAACGAACTTGTTGGTAGTTTCTTGAGCTATATCGCTGAGTTTTGATGGATGCATTTCCATTTTTTGCTGGACAATATGTAGTTTTTCACCACGTGGGTATGACTGAACGAGGATTTACCGGTGGATTTTAGGGTACAGTGCCCTAAGTCAGACGTGTGGTCACCTGGTGAAGTGATTTTCTTGAGGCTGTCTCATTCATCAGTGACTCACCATGGCTAGTAAGTATTATGTCTTCAAGAACCTGAGATAGAGCCGAAACAAAAATGATCGAAAAATCGTTTTCAAAACCCATTTTTACAAGGTGAGGCCCCTAAATCATACCTAAGCTGACGTGCTTCCAGAATAAACAAAGATTGGAGGGTGTGACGGCTCTAACCGGCATCTGTTCAATTTGATCTTAACATGAACCCTCACCGACCGAGAGGGTTTGTGCCCTTTAGCCGGATAGTACCATTGGCCTGAGGGCCCCGGTTTCCCGATGGTTGAGAAGCTTGGGTGAATGTATCGAGCCCGGAGCTTTCATGGTCGACCGACTGGAGTTTGCCGCTGGTGTTAAATTGGCTTTCGCTCAGTGCAAGGGGGAAAGCCGATTCATGCCTGTCGCATGGATGGTCACCCGAGTGCTGGAGTTTGTGCTTACAGACAACATCAATCCGATCGCAGCCAAAGGATTGGCACAGGACTATTTCTCCAAGTCGCTGTTCTGGAGAAGAGCCCCCGGTGGCGCTGCACAGGCATCCTTTCTTGGCAGGGTAGCTAGCAGAACCCAGCAAGTGTGGCATATCAAAGGACCTATCTGGTGCTGAAAAGATGAAGCTATTCTTTTTTTGTCGCGTGCAGCCAAGTTGACGCAAATAACTGGGCTAGCTGTTGGGTTTATCGGGAATATAACGAAACCATGGGGTGAATCAAAACCAACAAACATAACTGGGTGGTCCCACCTTGGAAGGGTTTCATCGTTGCTTTTGGCGGGCAAACCTTCAGATGTAGTTAATCTGGGTAAATTATTACAACTTCTCTGCAACCTTAGTGGAATCATGGTTAGTAAGGGGAATCATCATGCAACAACAGATTGTGTCCCCTTTTGGTACTCACATCTAATGACTATGAGCCAGGTGTGGTTTTCAGCTTTACTTGCAACTCTTTGAGTTTGTGTTAGTTCACCCTCCACTTGTTGGCAATACCAACCCAATTATATCCCGTCTACTTGCTAGTTACGATGCCTTAGGTGAAAGAAAAACCTTGTTTCATTTTGTTCATCATCTATGCGTTCCTCCTTTCAGCAGCAAAATACATTTCTTCAATTTTGAAGGTTGTAATTCGGATAGATGGTTTGGAATTGACAAGGCGTTATTCAAAAAGCATGCTCCACATTCCCTTCTGCCATGGTGGTGTCCTTCAGTTGATCCGTATTGTTTTAATATTATAAGTTATAAGTCTTTCATAAGCCAACTATATTACACAGAACTTGGTAGGCACCATTTTATGTTTGACCTTCTCTACTGCTGTGACCAGCCTTGTCCGGTTCGAAAAATCAGAGGCTTAGAGCACCGCCGTCCAGAGCTTGGACTGCACTGTCTTTGTCCAGAGGCTGGAGCGGGTGGACGCGTCAGGACGCTTTCCCTGCGGAAGCTAGACATGTTTGGCGCCAAAAGGTATGTTGGCTGATGGAACATGGGATTCAATCAATTTGGTTGTGTTTGTTGCAGTTTCAACTATGGGTTCTTATCAAAAGTATAGAGAAGCAACTGAGAAATGATGATTGGTTGATGACTATAGGAAAATTTACATGGTTTAAGCATCAGTTAGAAGGGTTATACTTGCTTATAACCTTCAAATGATGAGGAATATCATGGAGACATGATGGTTGCTGGATGATTAGTTCCGGAATTATACTAAGCAATATTTCGGGAATTATCAACCATATATTGGGATGATATAGTGGTTGATATATTGGAGATTCCCGTATCCAAATAAGATGGTTTAATGTCTTTTTTTTGGCATTTAGCAATCAGGACGGGTTTTATGTGGTTTAAAGTATCAAACCTATAGACAAATAACTCATACTAATATAGATAGTAACTAAGATTTGATATATGCTGGGGAACCACAATTCATTTCGCAACCAACCAATACAAAGGAACGACGCAGGTATTGAACGCTGCTGCTTACGCCATCCAACAATAGTGATTTAATAGGATCTTCATGGTGATATGACCAACAATAAGTGGGGATTTAATGGCAATTCCCCACTTACCCTCTGGTAAACTAACAGTTTGCTATGGAAAATGGCCATAGAAATAGTTGATTTACCCATTAAAAATGGTGATTGTCCATAGCTATGTTAGTTTACCAGAGGGTATATGGGGATATAAGAAGATACAATGAGGATATCTCATTATACTCCTTAACTTTCGTGATTTTTGATGAGATATACTCCCATGAAAATTGGCATTACCCAATGGGATTCCCAGTAACCGATCTAGGCTGACCATGGCACAAGTGGGTCATGGGATAAAAGGCTACAAACGGCTAGATGTGGTAGAGATTTTTTATGAAAAAAAAACAGAAAAAATGTGATATTTATATATATATATAGTGTAAAGATCCAACCGTGGGGATACAAGGGGGTAACTTCGACAACTCCCCTGTTTCGGCAACTTCCACCAATCCAATGATGGTGGAGTTTCGTCAACAACTTCGCCTGGATCATCCCATCGTCGGTGTGTGGATCGTCATGGGCGTAGTATGCAGGGTTACTACCCTCTGGTAAACTAACAGTTTGCTATGGAAAATCACCATCCTTAGTAACGTAAATCAACTATACTGTAATCATATCCCATTATCATGTGATTGATAGATATTAATGTACACTCTGGTAAACTAACTTAACTATGGAAAACCACCATTTTCCCGAATGCGTACCAAGGGTTCCTGTTTCACTCTGGGGGTCTGGGCGTTGAGGGTGTGTTCGCTCGACGTTGCGTTTATGTTCGCAACCGTTCGTAACCGTCCGCAACCGCTCGCAACCGTCCGCAGCCGTGCGTGAGGGCCATATATGGCCGTGCCTATGGTAAGTTCTGTGCAAAAGGAATCATTTTTGGAGGTTTCAAACGTCGCGTTGCTTCGTTTCCCGTGGCAGGCGTGGCACTTCGTGACATTCAGACGTGTTTTGTAACGTGTCGAAAGTCGTTTTGTGTGGCAGGCGCAATACGTTTGCAACGTTTTCGCAAGATGAGTTGCAGTTTTCGTGGCAGGTGCAGCACTTTGGACGTGTCCATGGTCATTTTGCGTGGCAGGCGCAACACTTTAGACGTGTCGTGTTGCATGTTTTTTGCGAATCGCATTGTCAGGGCTGCATCAAGTGGCGACAAGGTGCAAATTCCATGGCAGGCGTGGCATCTTGTGAGATGTGACGAAACTTGACGGAAGCCTTGCACGAAATATCGATTTTGAGGTAGCAAATTTAAAGGGTTTTTAGAAATCTCGTAGGAAAACATCACTTTTGAAGCTACAAAGTGTGAAAATCGGAGGAAGTCTGCACGAAATGCTCGTTTTGATGCTCCCACGTGCCTCGTCTCGAGTCTCTGGTTTTCCTGTGGCCTTGCCGTGTCTATTGGGGAAGCTGCAAAACCTTTCCTTTTCGAAGGTGTCAAATGGTTGTAAATCTTGTTTTGCAGGGTAGGCGCGGCACTTTGTGACATTCCAACCTGTTTGATAATGCGTCGAAAGTCGTTGTGTGTGGCAGTCGCAATACTTTCGCGTCGTTTCAACAAAATGAGTTGCAGTTTTCGAGGCAGGCGCAACATTTTGTAGATCTCTGTCGTCATTTTGCGTGGCAGGCGCAGCACTTCACACTCCCCCTCTTTCACTTCACACTCTACACTCTACACTTTACACTCCACACTTTACACTTTACACTCTACACCTTACACTCCACACTCCACACTTTACACTTTACGCTCCACACTTCACACTTTACACTCTACACTTTGCACTCCACACTCCACACTCTACACTCTTACACCTTGCACTCCGAACTCTACATTCCACACTCTACACTTCACGCTCCACACTTTACACTCCACACTCCACACTCTACACTTTACACTCTACCCTTTACATTCTACACTATACACTCCACACTTTACAATTTACACTTTACACCCCACACTTTACAATTTACACTTTACACTTTACACTCCACACTCTACATCTTACACTCCACGCTCCACACTTTACACTTTACACTCTACACTCTACACGCCACACTTCACACTTTACACTTTACGCTCCACACTCCACACTTTACACTTTACACTCTACACTTTACACTCCACACTTCACACTTTACACTCCAGATTCTACACTCCACACTCCACGCTTAGCACGCCACTGGCTTCCATATTCCACAGTCTACGGTGCACTGGTATGGTAACAGGTGAAAAATGTACAAGACTGTTCAAATAAACTATTGCAGAAGAGTGTTCTGCGTGACTGCATATCCATGCGTTTCGACATCTGTACCATTAACATACGTGTGAGCATTCGGGTTCGTGGGCTTCAACCAGCAAACATAGACAGAGACATATATACATACAGAGTAATGCCCCAGTTCGTTAGCTAAGTTAGTTTATAAGTCCAATAACTATGGTTTTTAGGTGTATAATCCATTTATAACTGGGGGGGCACCACCTTGTATACATACTGAGACATGGGAAATCCCCGAATTATATCACGTTTACAAAAATTAGTTCGATAATGTCTCCTCATTTTCACCAAACTGTTTCTGGTTGATGGCTTCAACCCCTCTGAAAAATATTAGTCCAAACCACCTACAGTACCAGGTTTGAATGATGCCAAGAAACTCCTTTCTCAAAGGGTTTGGTGCAAGGTGGCACCCCCTGTGCTAACATGTTTTTTGGGAGAACAAACATACATGGAATGCCATAGGGAAAATCATCCACTGAATGTTTTACATGTAATATGCCTTGTGGATTTACCTTCTCTCAGTCTCTCAGTATATCTCAATGGATATGTTTCTTGCTCTATGTTCACCCATCTACAATGTGGTGCCCCATAGTTAGCTAAGTTGGTTTACAAACTAGGTTAGCTCGGGTATTAGGTATAGCTAGATAGGATTTCAAACCAACAAACATAATTTTGGGGCCCCGCGTTGCATATCTACCAATACCATAAATCCCTCAAGTTATAAGTATGCCGACGAAGATCGAAGATCAGCAAACAAGTCGTACTGATGCTCTTCTTTCCAAAGCAGTCGTTGAGAAGAAGCAAGGCCAGTCCCTCAAAGACGTCAAGGCCCGGAAAGTCAAGCCCTGAACGATTGGGGGCGGCGAGAACTCATGTTGGCTTGTGGCCTTCTGCCAGCGACTGGTAGCGCCTTTACGATGTATGGGAAGGCGTCACGTCTCAGGCAATCAAGACTGGCGTGCCTGGGCCTAAAAATAAACTGGCTCATTTTTGCGTGTTCTTTTTGCTTTTCGGGTGGCTACTTTCCCGAATTCGTAGCAATGGTTCCCGTTTCACTCTGGGGGTCCAGTCTGGGGGTTGAGGGTGTGTTCGCTCGACGTTGCGTTTATGCTCGCAACCGTTCGTAACCGTCCGCAACCGTTCGCAACCGTCCGCAACCGTCCGCGTGAGGGCCATATATGGCCGTGCCTATGGTAAGTTCTGTGCAAAATGAATCATTTTTGGAGGTTTCAAACGTCGCGTTGCTTCGTTTCCCGTGGCAGGCGTGGCACTTCGTGACATTCAGACGTGTTTTGTAACGTGTCGAAAGTCGTTTTGTGTGGCAGGTGCAATACTTTTGCAACGTTTTCGCAAGATGAGTTGCAGTTTTCGTGGCAGGTGCAGACTTTGGACGTGTCCATGGTCATTTTGCGTGGCGGGCGCAACACTTTGGACGTGTCGTGTTGCATGTTTTTTGCGAATCGCATTGTCAGGGCTGCATCAAGTGGCGACAAGGTGCAAATTCCTTGGCAGGCGTGGCATCTTGTGAGATGTGACGAAACTTGATGGAAGCCTCTACAAAGTGTAAAAAATGGAGACGGTCTCGCACGAAATGCTCGTTTTGATGCTGCCGTGTCTATGGGGGAAGCTGCAAAACCTTTCCTTTTCGAAGGTGTCAAATGGTTGTAAATCTTGTTTTGCAGGGTAGGCGCGGCACTTTGTGACATTCCAACCTGTTTGATAATGCGTCGAAAGTCGTTTTGTGTGGCAGGCAAAATACTTTTGCGTCGTTCTCACAAAATGAGTTGCAGTTTTCGAGGCAGGCGCAGCATTTCGGATATCTCTGTCGTCATTTGGCGTGGCAGGCGCAGCACTTCAGACGTGTCGCATTGCCTGCTCTACACTCCACACTCTACACTCCACACTCCACACTCCACCCTTTACACTTCACACTCCACACTTTACATTCAACTCTTTAATCCCTTCCTCCTAATACTAAACCCCCCCCCCTAATACAAAACACGGCAGGTAGTTTTTAGTATTAGGGGGGTATTTATTATTAGGGAACCAAATCGAAGCTTACCCCTATGTTAAAACCCTTAATTAAAAACTTTTTTTCCGATCTCAAAATCAATTAAATTTCCTTATATAACGCAATTAAAATATTGCCAAAAATGGCAGTTCGAAGCTTACCCCTAATACTAAATTAAAACCCTTAATACTAAAAACTATTTTTTCCGATCTCAAAATCAATTAAATTTCCTTATATAACGCAATTAAAATATTGCCAAAAATGGCAGTTCGAAGCTTACCCCTAATACTAAATTAAAACCCTTAATACTAAAAACTATTTTTTCCGATCTCAAAATCAATTAAATTTCTTTATATAACGCAATTAAAATATTGCCAAAAATGGCAGTTCGAAGCTTACCCCTAATACTAAATTAAAACCCTTAATACTAAAAACTATTTTTTCCGATCTCAAAATCAATTAAATTTCCTTATATAACGCAATTAAAATATTGCCAAAAATGGCAGTTAGAAGCTTACCCCTAATTGCTAGAGTAGCTAGGCAGCTTGGAGTGAGGGATTGGGACTAGGCCCCCCTAATACTAAACACCCCGGGGTGAACTAGTTTTTAGTATTAGGGGGGAGAACCCACAAATGGTAGGTTGATTTTTAAATTGTTTTTTAAAGGGGATCAATTAAAAGTCAAATTGGCCAAACTGAAATTTTCGGAAATTGGAGATGGATGCCTGTTTTTAGTATTAGGGGGACGTTTAGTATTAGGAGGAAGGGATTACACTCCACGCTCCCCACACTACACTTTACACTGAACACTTTACACTCTATACACTTTGCACTCCACACACCCCACTCTACACTCTTACACTTTACACTCCGCACTCCACAGTCCACACTCTACACTCCACGCTCCACACTTCACACTCCACACTCCACACTCTACACCTTACACTCCACCCTTTACATTCTACGCTGTAGACTATACACTCTACACTTTACACCCTGACACTTTACAATTTACATTTTACACTCCACACTCTACACTCCACACGCCACACTTCACACAATACATTCCACACTCCACACTCTACATTCCACACTTCACACTTTGCACCCCACACTCCACACTTCACACTTTACACTCCACACTCCACACTCTACACTCCACACTCCACACTTTATACTCCACACTCCACACTCTACATTTTACTCTCCACACTCCACACTTTACACTTTACACTCTGCACTTTGCACTCCACACTTCACACTTTACACTCCAGACTCTACACTCCACACTCCACACTTTGCAGGCCACCTGCTTCCATATTCCACAGTCTACGGTGCACTGGTATGGTAACAGGTGAAAATGTACAAGACTGTTCAAATAAACTGTTGCAGAAAAGTGCTCTGCGTGACTGCATATCCATGTGTTTCGACATCTGTACCATTAACATACGTGTGAGCATTCGGGTTCGTGGGCTGCATCTTGTTTAATGGGTAAATCAGCTATTTCTATGGCCATTCTCCATAGAGATATTACAAGTTACCAGAGGGTAATCACTATCATGGGGGCAAAAATCAATGTTTCGCACATGATGATATCAGTAATTGTTTTTTAAAGATATTTTCATAGCTCATGATGATCGTACAAGTTGTAGTAGCTAATGATTCATAATTGTTTTATACCCTCTGGTAAACTAACAGTTTGCTATCGAATTTCACCATCCCTAACAGGGAAATCAACTATAAATGTGCCATTTTCAATAGCTATATTAAATTACCAGAGGGTAACCACTTCCTGAGTGCGATGCTCCTCTAAGTACAGGATGCTATGTTGGTGGATGAATTGCTACAATTTCCCCACTTTGTTGGTTGCAAGATATTATCGTTCAGAATCATTTGTATGCTAATTATATATATATATACTAGCTGTTGACTTTAGATATAGCCTCTGCGTTATCATGCCATTATTATCTCATCATCAAACCAGCGTTTTCCCCATGGTCAAACTACCATCACCATCATGGCTATCCCATTCCCTTCATGACCCACAGTGAAAAACCATAGGCCCGTTATCAGCCTTTGGGCAATGGCCATGATGGCCGATTTAATCGATAGAAATGGCAAAGATTCATGAAACAAAATTGATGGTGATTTTCTATAAGGGATGGGATGCTAATGATACTGGTTTCTATGGCAAAACTATTTTTAATTGATATGATATTTTCTTACTCCCCCATTATTATTATATCTGATCCCTTTTTACTAAGTATGTTTGATTTAAATGGAAAAAATGATACTGGTTTAATGGAAATTATTATCGATAATGATAATGAACATGATAATGATGCTGATATCGGAAATTATTGATTATTGATAAAATAGCAATGTTTTCATCATCCCACCTTTTGTTAAATCATTGGTTCATTCCCTTGCTTGCCCAATCTTCGAAGGCCTTACTGGAAGCCAATGCCCCGCTGCCACCGCCAAGCGAGGTACGACGGGGGAGAAGGTTTTCCATTGACACGGGAAACTGCTTAAAATCAAACGGTTTTTTTGTGATTCTGTATGGAATTATATGGTTGTGCGTGTGTGGTGTTCTGCAATTTTATTTGAATTTATACCAGTAGTACCGCACAAGGCGGTGGCGGAAGTTTCAAAAATAGGAAACCTATAGGAGAGGTTGGTTGTTGTGAATCAGGGATGGCAGAGCGAAGCCACTGATGGACTGAAAGGTGCTTGAGGTCTCCTCTCTTTCTCTCTCTTTCTCTGACTATCTACTTACCTACCAGCCTATCTTTTATGTATCTATCTATCTATCGATCTTTCTATCTCTCTCTCTTTCTCTCTTTCATCTAATTACCTATCTACCTATCTACCTATCGACCTATCTATCTATCTATCTATCTATCTATCTATCTATCTATCCATCTATCTATCTCTCTCTCTCTTTCATCTGTCTATCTGTCTAGCTGCCTACCTGTCTGACTATCTATCTATCTATCAATCTATCTATCTATCTATGTATCTATGTATCTATCTATCTATCTATCTATCTATCTACCTATCTATCTATCTATCTATCTATCTATCTCTCCATCTATCGATCTATTGTAGTTGTAGTTGTAGTTGTAGTTGTTGTAGTTGTTGTTGTTGTTGTTGTTGTTGTTGCTGTTGTTGTTGCTGTTGTTGTTGCTGTTGTCGTCGAAGTTAGGGTATTCGTGTTAGTGAAGTTACTTAAGTTAGTCAAGTTAGTTAAGTTAATCAGTGTCTACTTTTTCGACATCAGCACGTCAAAAAAGGCTCAAAACACCCAGTTTTTTACACTTTTGACTTCGAAATGTGCTTCGCGCCACAACGGTGTGCACTTTTTCGACACTTTTTCGACATCTGAACCTCCAAAAGTGGTCCGAGACCGTCAGTTTTTAACACTTTTGACTTGGAAATGTGCTTCGCGCCACAACGGCGTGCACTTTTTCAACATCTCAACTTCCAAAAGTGGTCCGAACCTGGTGTTTTTGCATTTTGACTTCGAAATGTGCTTCGCGCCACAACGGCGTGCACTTTTTTGACATCTCAACTTCCAAAAGTGGTCCGGAGCTGGGTGTTTTGTACATTTTGACTTGGAAATGTGCTTCGCGCCACAACGGCGTGCACTTTTTCGACATCGCAACTTCCAAAAGTGGTCCGGAGCTGAGGTGCTTTGTACATTTTGACTTGGAAATGTGCTTCGCGCCACAACGGCGTGCAATTTTTCATCTCTCATCTAGCCAGCTGGCTCCGCACCCGCCGCTTTAGCGAGCCTACTTTTCGACCCTCCGGAGCCTCAAATCATTGGAAAAACACAGTATTTCGCGACTTTCCTACCTTTTCGCGCATCTGCATCTTCTTTCTTCTGACTCTTTCTCTTCTGATCTTCTCTCTTCTAATCTTTCTCTTCTCTCTGCCTCTTCCCTGCTCTGCTTTTCATCTGTCCATATTGTCGGGAGTTTGACTTCTAAACTTCCTTCGATGATTGGGTATTGTTTTATGATGTGGTTATGTGATTTTATTTGGTGCATTTTACGGCTTTACATTATTTGATTTGTATGTGGTTTTATGTAGCCTTATAGGGAGTCTATACGGTTTTATATTGATTTATCTAGGAATTTTCCATTGATAATTATTGAGTAATCCTTTTTCATTTTGGTGATTTCTGTTGGAATTTCCTCCGTCTTGGATGTGTATATGGCAGTATTAGTGCCTTGCAACAAGGATAGGATTGCAAAATGCCACGTTGTAGCAGTTGGTCAATAGGTAAACCCAGTTCATGGCACTGCGAGGGGCGCAAGCTCACCAGAGAGCAGTCGGATTTGGTGACACTATGCAGATGCAATCCGTCGCCCCAAAGCTCGAGGACTTCGACCGCTTCAAAAAGAGCCGGACCCAAGGGACCCCAGGACACAGGGGTATCCTCGTTGGAGAGCTCACGGCCCAATAAAACCTGCTTGTGGGACCCGACCTTGGTGACCTGGATGATGAGTTTTTGGAATAGTTTGGCTCCAAAATTTCTCCAATGGCAGAGGATACCATCCAGAAAGCAAACACAGCTGTTGAAACCCACAATTTTTGAGAGGTAAACCATCTAGAAATTGGTTATGTTCATTTATTTTCCATAGCTGTGTTAGTCTAGATGGTAGATTTGGTTCTATACAACATCAATATTGAAAAATTGCAGATTTTCATGAAACGGAAATGCGGGTGAAATTCCAAAGAGGACCACCCCCAGGGTATGTTGGTTGGCTTGTCAGTGGGTTCGGGAGGCCGTGCCTCCCGCTGAAAAATGTTCGAACTCGAGAATATCCTCTGGTAATTTGGTACATAGCTGACATAGCAATAGAAAATTGCAGATTTAGTTCGTTGTTTTACCAATAAAAAGGGATGGAAAACCCATAATTAGTTATGTAAACGGTTACCAGAGGGTAAAGCCATTAATATTTGAAGCCAGTCACATTTGCAATATATTTAATGATATCATGATATACAAACCCCAAGAAACGGGCCACAATGAAGCCATGCGTTGTGCAACTTCACACCCATCATTCGTAGGAGTGACATTCCCATATATCAATGCCCATTCCAGGAACCTAAATTGGAGGTACCTACCATATATAAGGCCTATGTAAGGGAATATCCCCCCAAAATATGGCCTTATATGGTACAGTACCTCCATTTTAGGATCCAGTATAATTCCCATTGAATATATTCCCATTAATTCCCATTACACTGGTAAATTCTGATGTGGTCACCAAAAAAGGAAATTGCCGAAATCCTCCTTAGATAATCCCATTCAACCCCTTTATACTCCCATTTGAATCTTCCATCATTTTTGTTGTGATGATTAAATACTCAAAAAATGTTTGATAGGTAAACCAAGCAGGTTAAATGCACCATGTAAACCCGGTTTTCAATGAGATCCCCACAGTTTTTAGTTAAATCATCCATAATTCGAATGTTGAATCTTTCATAGGACAAAATCTCCAATTAACCTATCCTCTAATGTGGAAATGCGTTTGTATCTCATGGCTCTTTCAGTTAAATTCTCCATATTTATTCAATGGGTTTGTTCATTTTTGGACAATGTGGTAAACCCAATGCCATAAACAATCCCTAAAAAAGTACTAGTCTTGCTGGGTGGTACGTGGCATTTTTTCATCCCCACATGGTAGGTTTCACTGGGATAATTGCCATTTTAATCACTGCTCTATAAACCCAGTTGAGGTATGAACCAATAGGTGAATCAATACACCCATTGCTCACCACCATTAAAGTATTTCTGGGTCAATATTAGCCATTATCATCATTATTATCCATTGAAATACCGGTGTGTGTTCTTCGTCTATTATTGTTAGTGCTCCACACATTATTATTTACCGTTATCAACTACTTGTACTACCAATAACGGGTTAGTAATACACCCCACTATGGGTTTCAATTTGGAAATCACCATAAATATGTCACAATAAATATGTTAACCACCATTATCGCCCATACAACTATTGTTCTCACCCAGGTTGCACAATCACCACTAATGCCATTATAATCAATATTGTTTCCCACAATATGGTTGATGCTAAAAGACATTCACCATAAACGACTCTTAGTAGAAGATAACAATCCCAAAACTGCCTTATTTCAGATTCTTGAAATGTTACAGTTTACCCAAATAAATGATTCGCCAAAACTTACTATAGGCACCAAAAGATTGAACCACCGTCATTAACAGTTCACTAAAATAATATAATGCACTGTTAAATGGTGGTGATTCAATATGATATTACGATTTACCTGATTTAAGGATTTACCATAATACAACCATATTAGTACTATATTATGACCATAATATGAAAGTCTTAAATCATAATACTGTTATCAAAGGTGAATCCCTATATCCACCTTACCTGTGAATCAGGGTATTTAGGTGATTGAAGCGCCATCACGAACAGGTCACCATAGTACCCTCTGGTAAACGTTTACATAACTATGGAAAATCACCATGTTGAATGGGTAAATCCACTATTTCTATGGCCATTTTCCATAGCTATGTTACAAATTACCAGAGGGTATTATAGTTTGGTGAAACCTTATGGGTGAATAACATTCACCATAAAATCATGCTATATTTGGTGACACCATATTTCACGATTTACCACAATATAACCATATTGAATACATTCAAATACTATATTATAATCATATGAAATATTCAAAACTATATTAAATACTCTATTAAATCCTTTAGTATAGCCATATGATCACCACATTAACTACAATGTGGGGCCTCCTAGTTATAAGTTGGTTTATAAGCCCCAGTAACTAGTTCGTTATTTGCGTACCATACACCATAGTGAAATTGGAATTATGTGAAACCCAACTTAGCTATCGAACAGGGGCCTCACATTGTACCATCTGAATATGGAGGTGTTCTAAAATATTACCCCAAAACCATTGCTTTTCCCATTGACACATGATTTTCCATGATTTTGGGGTACCACATCAGTTGCGAACATTACCCCCAGTTATCCACATAGTGAATCATCACCTTGGCAGGTCAGCCACTGGCCCAGCACGGCCGAGTACATGGCCAGCTGGCGCCCGGCGGTGGATCTCGAAGCCGCAGCCAGCGCAGCCGATGAGGCGCAGTTCGATGGCCGATTTTTCATAGGAGAAATGACCATTGACCCATGGGAAAATATGGAAAAATGTGGGAAAATATGGGAAACCTTGGAAAAACTATGGAAAACATGATATTTGTTGGGTTGAATTGGGTTGATAAGTGGCTGAATTCTATGGTTTATGGTAGATATAACAAACTAGTTACCGGAGTTTATAAACTATTATCAACCAATTTATAACTGTGGGGCACTATCCTGCATGGAAAATGTGGAAAAATGGTGAACAATCATGGTTTACCCGATGGAAATGGTTTTTCAATATGTGTCATGGGAGAAATTACCATCTACTTGGTGGTTCGTCCATATAAATCAAACATATTCGTGGGGAATAATATCATATAGTATCATATTTAACATTATTTAAGCCATGGTTCTGGGGTATGTCCAATTGGGATATGTGAACATGTTCTGTGAATGAATACCTTGTGGTTCATCCCAGGAATCGTAGGTGGATTAGTTCACCCCAGTTATAAGTGGATTAAGCCTACTTGTCCCAATTAAAATCCCATTTAGAACTTACTTAGTAAGTGGGATGAGCCACCAAGTACCCATGGAAAAATGTGGGAAAATGGTGGGATTAGTGGGAAACATCTGTGATTTGGCTATGGATGATGGTTTCGATAGGAAAAATTGTGATTTACCAATGGAACATGTGGAAACATTGTGGTGTTAGTGGGAGAGATCCATGGAAATTGTGGAAAGAAATCATATGTGTTCATGGAAAATGTGGAGACACGGGGAAGGGTGGTAGCTATTCCGAAATGAATTTATTTCAGTTTGGTGAAATAGTATCGTTTTTCCGGTTGATAGGCTGTGGGATTGGGCAGTTTCAACCAATTCTATCCAGGTCACGGTTTTACTAAGTGGGAATTTCTTCAAATGATCAGGTGGTTTTCAAAGCGTACCCTGCCCCAATGATGAACAGCCCAAGCATGTTCAGGGTGTTGTTTAATGCGCATACCAGTTACCACTTAGAGGTTACAACCTATACTTACGCACATATAATATATTCATATGGGGTATCCTGCATGTGCTAGGTTGATCATGGGGGGTGTGAGAGCATATACATGGCACCCAATACAAGATATGCAAGGCGGCATATTCCGGCATATACTGGATTAGTTAATGTACTATATATAGTGTCTATGATTGAGGCAGTTCAAGACTCCATTAGAGCTTCATGGTTTCTGCTGGGCAAACAACCAAGTGCTGCCTGAGCTACCCTATGAAATGTAACTGTTTCCAAAATGGGATCCTCCACTTGCGTGACTACATTGATCAGGGTTATCAAGCGGGCAAGTGGAATGATCCTCCAAGTGGAGAAACATTCTATCTGCCTGAAATGGCCATAATTTTCTAGTGGATAATATTCACGTCGGTGACCATGTTGTTGTCCGCAAGATTGGACTTGGATTATGATTCCAATTTGGGCATGGGCACTAACTCAAGGTCGCCATTGACCCACAAACGCTGGGCAGTGTTCCCACTATCATCCAAGGTGTTATCCAGTTTTGGCCACACCCGTATGGAGAACGGAGCTATGCCGTGTTTCTGTGAAAATTACATATCCCCATGAAGACTGCCAGAAATTCATGGCAAACATCCCATATATCCATATGCCATGTTTTCAATGGGAATTCCAGGGTACTGTACCATATAAGGCCATATGTTGTGGGGATATCCCCTTATAGGGCTTATATATGGTAGGTGATGCGCCTGGTTGCAGGATGACACGCGGATTCTGTACAACGTGGAAATCACTTGGGGTGTGGAAACCAAGACGTTGAATCGTCGAGTTGGATTCCACCTGGATGAAAACAAAGTGATAAAACAAGAATATCATGTCTTGCCCATGGAAACATGATAATCTTACAGATTTTTTTTTGGTGAGTATGTATATTATATATATATATTCATCCAGATGCTAAGAAACTGAATGAAACTACCCGGCAACAGTGCGGGCCATGGACTCTGGACACATGACGACATGTGTAGCTGAGTCAAAGGTGACATGATTGGAGAAGATGGGGCAGTTCTTTTGGAGAATCATTGCTCGCATGGGGTTATGAGTTAGATTCAAACTGTTTGAAATGAAAGAGTTCAGAAGGTTCGAGTTACACAAATTCACAGCAGGCATTCTTAAAATTCAAGCTTCACCCCCCCGATTCAAGAGATGTTTGCGAGGTGAAAAATCAGCGGAAATGCCGTTGAAACGGGGCACAAGGCCTCCCATTCTGTAGTTGAAATTCGAACTGGGATGTCAGGGATGAGAAGAGGTACACAGCAAGAAAATCAAGAGCAAGATGGAATCGACCACTCCTCATAATGTAGCAAGAGCCTGCTCATGGACTCATGAACTGCTTATGAACTGCTTCTGAACGGCTTGTAGGGCTCATCGAATTCAGAAGCTTTCACCGACCGTCCAGCCAGGTGCGCAAAATTGGAAGGACCGAAGGAATTGCTGGATGCAATCTCTCTCAAGTCATAGTCTCAGAGTCTGCTAGCTGAAGGATTGCGCCTGCGAGAATCATATGCACCGTGAATGCCGCGCTAAGTTCTCAAACTGCATGCGACCGGACGTAGATGCGCCATGGATAGCACAAGCATCATCCCCTCAAGTTTCCGGAGCATCCGAGTTAGCAATCCAATTCAGTGCCCTCTGACGTTGTGAAGGCTCCTGATGGCCAAAGAATCAAAGGGATCCAAGGGTTTGTGCGCATTCGTGCGCCAATGTATTCCATTCAGATCCCCCACTCCACAAATGAGTCAAAGTGTTCCTTCATAGCAGATATAGATATAGATATAGCACCTTCTTAGGATGAAACAGGCGTCAACGAGACTATATTTTGCTCGGATTTCTTGCGCACTTGGAACAGTCCTGCTTTGTCGGGCCATGGACTCTGGACACATGACGACATGTGTAGCTGAGTCAAAGGTGACATGATTGGAGAAGATGGGGCAGTTCTTTTGGAGAATCATTGCTCGCATGGGGTTATGAGTTAGATTCAAACTGTTTGAAATGAAAGAGTTCAGAAGGTTCGAGTTACACAAATTCACAGCAGGCATTCTTAAAATTCAAGCTTCACCCCCCCGATTCAAGAGATGTTTGCGAGGTGAAAAATCAGCGGAAATGCCGTTGAAACGGGGCACAAGGCCTCCCATTCTGTAGTTGAAATTCGAACGGGGATGTCAGGGATGAGAAGAGGTACACAGCAAGAAAATCAAGAGCAAGATGGAATCGACCACTCCTCATAATGTAGCAAGAGCCTGCTCATGGACTCATGAACTGCTTATGAACTGCTTCTGAACGGCTTGTAGGGCTCATCGAATTCAGAAGCTTTCACCGACCGTCCAGCCAGGTGCGCAAAATTGGAAGGACCGAAGGAATTGCTGGATGCAATCTCTCTCAAGTCATAGTCTCAGAGTCTGCTAGCTGAAGGATTGCGCCTGCGAGAATCATATGCACCGTGAATGCCGCGCTAAGTTCTCAAACTGCATGCGACCGGACGTAGATGCGCCATGGATAGCACAAGCATCATCCCCTCAAGTTTCCGGAGCATCCGAGTTAGCAATCCAATTCAGTGCCCTCTGACGTTGTGAAGGCTCCTGATGGCCAAAGAATCAAAGGGATCCAAGGGTTTGTGCGCATTCGTGCGCCAATGTATTCCATTCAGATCCCCCACTCCACAAATGAGTCAAAGTGTTCCTTCATAGCAGATATAGATATAGATATAGCACCTTCTTAGGATGAAACAGGCGTCAACGAGACTATATTTTGCTCGGATTTCTTGCGCACTTGGAACAGTCCTGCTTTGTCGGGCCATGGACTCTGGACACATGACGACATGTGTAGCTGAGTCAAAGGTGACATGATTGGAGAAGATGGGGCAGTTCTTTTGGAGAATCATTGCTCGCATGGGGTTTTGAGTTAGATTCAAACTGTTTGAAATGAAAGAGTTCAGAAGGTTCGAGTTACACAAATTCACAGCAGGCATTCTTAAAATTCAAGCTTCACCCCCCCGATTCAAGAGATGTTTGCGAGGTGAAAAATCAGTCAGGGATAGTCAGGGCATGACACTGTCCATCGATTTTTGGCATGATACTTACTCTGGCCGACATACTTTGCGCTTGCCACAGAATTTTTCCTGCATTCTTTTCCTGTAAGTATTACTGCATTGAAAAGCCCTGTTGCGAGGCAAGTTTCAATGCAAAGTTTCCCACAGCTCGCGCCCTTGAGGAAAGCCAGCGAGCCCCATGAATCCATGAGAACGACCGGAACGGTGCATCTGCGAAGCAAATGGCTGCACTTGAGACTTGTGGCTTACTGGGACAACTGCAACTGGCACACGTGGCGGCCTGCAGTCACACCAAAGGGCGCAAGGGCGGGCAAGCTCCTGGGAGCTGCATGGCAGCCAGATGGCTGACTGGGCTGACTGCTTGAAGAGTTTCAAAAACTCCTGTGGAGATGGTTGCTTACAGAAAACTCTGTGCATTTTCAGGTTATTTTCCGCGCATGGGTTTTGTCGCCTTGCAGAACGCATTCTTTATCGGTGCCCAAGCTTCTAGTCTCAGGCCCATTCTGATTAGTTGAAAGGTAACTGTCAGTGGACGGAGGGTCACTTTATGTCACATTCGTCCACACTCAGTTGACCCCGGGCACTGGGCAAGCGTGAATGGTCAAGATTGTTGAGTCGTATTTTTTTGAGTCCTGTAGAGTCCTATTTTGACATTCTCACAGTTCGTGGTTTTCAGCTAGGGATGGCTGCTAGCTTTGGATCCCACTAGTCACATTTCACGAAAGGTAGCGTCAGCTACCTGAGTTCTCCGTGCTTCAGCACAATCATAGGGGGTATTGGGGGGCCAGCCCGTGGAAAACGTAGACTTCTCGACGTTATGTATTAGATATCAATTATAAGGGTGGGGCCCGCCCCCACCCTCAAGGAACTATCGGCGCACGTTGAAAGCTCCAATCCAAGACCAGCTTCAGTCCTGCACAAGATTCTTTACAGGAATCTGTCAACACAGTCGTCATAACTTGAGCGAGCTAGCCTCACATCAGGAAAGAGTGAGGAAGAGATGGTTCCGCCAGTAAACTAGCCACCGTATGCCACCGTGAGTGGTAAATTTGTGTGTTGAGTGAAGACATTTGATCATTTGTTGTTTCACAGTGCAAAATGATGTCAGAGTCTCAGCGCCTTCCAGCGATTCCAGCAGTGGTTCTGTTGTTCACGATCGTACCATCAGCCAGAAACCAAATAATCCCCTCAAGTTTCCGTATTAGATGTGGATGCTTGCGTTTTTTCTATAGCAGTGGGAAGTCGGCAGTCCCGTGCAGTCCCCAGCCATGCTTGGAAAGTTGGCAAGCCACTGGAGCTGACTGGGCTGACTGCTTGAAGAGTTTCAAAAACTCCCGTGAAGCGAAACAGTCCCGTTCTCGACATTGGACTTTCTTCAGGTGAGTATGGGTGCTATCAATCTTGTTTCCATGGCTGCTTACGCGCAAATCATTCTTTCTCGTTGCCAAAGGCTTTAGTGGCTCTAGTATCAGGCCCTAAAGAAGCTGTCAGTGGACGGAGAGTCACTTTATGTCACATTCGTCCACACTCAGTTGACCCCAGGCACTGGCAAAACGGAAATAGTCAAGATTGTGAAGTCGCATTTTTGGGAGTCCTTTTGAGTCCTATCATAGTCCTATCTGATTTGATCCATCTTCAGCTGTAATTTCGCTGCTTTGCAAATACTCGAGAGGTCCTGAAGGACTTTATGTGAGATCCTTCTCATTCTCATGTCAAAATTTCTTTGAGATATTTGCCAAAAGATCCGCATGTTTGGAAGTGTTTTTAGCCACAGAACATGTCCTTATATCAAGTGGATAAATGTTTGTGGCCAGGTGCAGCATTTGCAAAGCTCCTTTCCAGCTCAGAGTTGGGCTCGCCCTTGCAGAAGTTTTCCAAATGGTCATCACGGTCCGCCACAGTAGAGGCACACTCTCCATGAGGGAGATGTCCCTGTAGTCCAGCATAATTGGTTTGCTTCAGCCTCAATAACAGTTGCTGCAAGGGGTCTTAAAAAGGGTTTTAAATAAACCCCTTTTCGTGCATCATTTCATGCTGCACAAGACACCGTATCATGCAGTCATGCTCTGGATAAAATCATCTTAGACCAAAAACGTTTTTGGTTTATCATCTTAGGGGCGCAGCATTTTGACACCACTCCTCCGCCACTACACTACCTTTCGTCCGCCTCCGCCTGCTCTCAAGTGACGTGCTGCATCCGCGAGTGTAGTAGCTGGTGAGACATTTCAAAGTCAACGTGGACCAGAAGCAAGATGCTTGCACTGCAGCTCCTGCAGTCTAGTTAATCATAGTTTATCCATGTTCATCCCACATGGCGTGGTCACATCCGCTGGGAGATCTTCGACGATTTCTCTCTAACATTCTATGGCCCAAGATGCTGGTGGCACATCCGACTTCGCTCATAGCACGAGGAGTTACAGAGAGGATCAGTTTACCTTAGAAGCTTCAAGCGTAAATTTGGAAGAATTGATCCCTCGGTTTCAACCAGACTTCCATACCATTCCATGCCATTCCGTACCACACATCCGGGTAAGGAGCTACAAGGGCCAGCAGGTGGCCAGCAGAGTTACCCGACTTACCCTTTCCAAGAAAAGGTTAACGTCGCCTAATTAAGCAACGATAAAAAATTAAGCTAACAATGGTGGAAATCATGGGATTTGGACATGGCTCCGGTACCAAGAGCATGAGCTATATGACCAAGAATTACATGTTTGTGCCAACAAAAGTGCTGGGGACAGACCCATGGAGTGATGAAATTGAAAAGACACAGGTTGCTGTAGGCCTTGCTCTGAAGCAAAGCGGTCTCTTAGACACAGATGGCACAATCTTATTAATTTATATAGGTGATTCCAGCGATTCCAGCAGTGGTTCTGTTGTTCACGATCGTACCATCAGCCAGAAACCAAGTAATGCGAATCTATCGGGTGCCCTCAACTGATTCAGAGGTGTTTGTCCATGCCGTCAGGTTGCAGCTAAAGCAGCAGCCAGTCAGTGAGTTTGCAGGTGAAATGACCTGCCAGCCACATGTCAAGAGACCAGGACAGGTTTTCTGGAGGCTTGTGCTGGTTTTCGAAAAGTGAGAGACAGAGAATAAGATGCGGAGCATCCGCGGTGGACAAATTGGGTCGAGTTGGTAGTGTATTAGATGTGGATGCTTGCGTTTTTTCTATAGCAGTGGGAAGTCGGCAGTCCCGTGCAGTCCCCAGCCATGCTTGGAAAGTTGGCAAGCCACTGGAGCTGACTGGGCTGACTGCTTGAAGAGTTTCAAAAACTCCTGTGAAGCGAAACAGTCCCGTTCTCGACATTGGACTTTCTTGAGGTGAGTCAGGTAGCATCCCCTGTGATTTACTGGCTCAACCATGTAACATGGCTGATGGCAATTGCATTGGCCCCCTTCACTTGAGCCTAGTGTTTTGCAAGGCAAGCGCAATATATAGGCTGAAGTCCAATTTTTTGGACTTCAGCCTTTAAAGACGTCGCATGCGACCTTCGCAAGTCGGAAAAAAAAAGTATCGGTTGGTGCCCTCAAAAAAAACGTTTGAAACATATGATGTGTTTTGGCTTTGGCATGTCAAACGGTGCACCCCCCAAAAAAATACAGAGTTGTGAGGATGCCCATGTTTAAAAGGCTGACGGTGAGGTGAAATCTGAACAAACTTGCCCTCTTTTAACGCGTCAACGCGGCGCTCACTCAATCACTCCATCAAAACGCATGCATGCTTGCAGCGTGTACCGAAACACAGTCAAACGCGACATATGCGCCGGATGGCTCTTTTCAGCAATCCGTTTTGTACGGGATATCATATCCTCATCAGCGTATACCATAGGTATTTTGGGTTCTTTGGCAAGTAATGCCACACAGTGTGCCCCATGAAGTGCACCTTTGGTCTCATATGGTACTTTGCCTCCTTTTTTTGGACAGCAAGATCTGCTAAGGTGTTCAGAGCAGACCTGTAGACACAGTAAGCTCTTTTGAACTCACAAGTGGCCTCTGGGGTGAGTTTTCTTCCACCCCTCAAAATCAAGGTTTCCATCGTGGCAAGTCCTCCGATCAGCCCGCACCAGTACCTTAGTCCATGGGGGCTTTCAAAAACCAGCAAACCGGATTGCCTTTACAGTGGCACTGGATGTAAGTTTTAAAAAATTAACCTGGAAGAACATCTTTTGAACTTTGATAACTAAATTGAAAAAACGTGGAAAGCAAAAGCCATTGGATTTGAATAAGGTTCTATAGGTCTGTTTGGAATGTGTCAAATGCAGTCTATCAACACTCATTCGTGGATTTTGCTTGGAATAGTTCCCCCGGTGGAAAAAACACCCCAGTTGTATGGAACCGATGCGTATAAAATCTTAAGGCTTAAGGGTTGCGAAGGTGGGAAATTTCTCTTTGACCATCTAGTTTAAAGAATCATTGACGGGATGCTTGTAGATGTCATCATCCAAAACAATTTGTTGAAGCGCCCTCGACAGCCAAAAAATCAGATATCGACAGGCCGTGGCAGATAAAATCTTTTGGGACACTGCTGGGTATTGGGCACCACCCTGCGGGCGCAACACACCCGTAGTGAAAAATTTTCTCGCTGCACGATCGGCCACACCTAGGTTGTTCGGTTCACAGTTGCTTTCAAACGAATCTGGCGTTGTTTTATCTGTTGAACTTGCCTGTTGAAGGTCAAACAAATCTACCCCCAGCAAAAACACCAAAACAAACCACCATTACGTTTCCTAGGGACTGGTAGCTTCACACCATTCCCGGTAGTTTGCATACAGCGTGGACAGTTTGTCATCCCTGGTGGATCCTTCAATGTGATTTGGATAGTCACACATGTCAATGAGCACCGACGCCACTGCATCCACACCAAGCGCCAAATGGACAATGTGCATCCAGTCAGGATAGATACCTTAGGATGTGGCGTTGCAAATGGCCATGCACATACATCAGCACTTATCTACCTGTACATATCGGTTTTGATATTTTTTTGGGTATAAATAAATATGTGACTACGTCTATATGTGTATGTTACGAAAGCCAGCCGATAGGCTAGGCAAAGTTGTTTTGGCGAACGAAGTGAGTATTAGGGGGTCTGGGGGGTGGTCGTCGCGTATGGTGCCAAAATCTCGAAATTAGTTGCAGTGGAGGGTGGGCACATTGAACTTTTTGGGGGGGCATGTACCACTACGCAAAGAGGTGACGATAGGCTTCGATTCCCCCTAGGTCCGTTGACTCCGGCAGGAAAAAGGGAGGAAAAAACCAAGGAAAATGAAGGAAAATCGTTGAAAACAGGGGGAAAATCAGGAAAAAGGTAGGAAAAAAACGAAGGAAAATCGTTGAAAACAGGGGGAAAATGGAGGAAAATGGAGGAATGACAGGAAAAAGGTAGGAAAAAAACGACAAAAAAGGGAGGAAAATCGTTGAAAGCAGGTGGAAAATGGAGGAAAATGGAGGAATGACAGGAAAAAGGTAGGAAAAAAAACGAAGGCAAATCGTTGAAAACAGGGGGAAAAATGGAGGGCAATAGCGTTTGAAACACGTGGAGTGTACTGTGTGGAGTGACATACAATCTGTCACCCAGCATGGAGTGAGGCGTGTACAGTGTCAAGTGTAAAATGTGGTGTCTAGCGTGTCGAGTGTGAAGTGTTGAGTGTAGAGTGTAGAGTGTGGAGTGTCAAGTACACCTGAGCAAAATTTGGGCGAAAAGTTCGGATGCTGCAGATGCATCACATGAGTGTGCTGGTTAAACTTGGGGAGCGCGAAAACCAACCAAAAAACATCACAACGCATTCAATTTTCAGCTCCAGAAGGGATCAAGTTCGGCAAAGTGCCGCTCGAGTTTAGCATAGGTTGGAATCCACCGACTGCCATAAACCATCCCCCAAATCACCAATTTTATGGGTAGGATTTCAATCCTCCCCAAATGGTAAGCTTATTATAGACTTTCCCACATCCCTTTATCAAGACACACACAGACATTGATTGGTTATGACAATGTCCTCCACTTGTCAAAAGGCACCCTTTCATAGCTCCCAAGCAGTACCCCAAACTTGGCATTCGAGGTAACGGATGGTAACAGCATGTTTGTTTGGATGTTAGCCTAGCAACTCTTGCGCTGGTCATTGTGCCAGGGGTGGTCGCAACCAAATAGAAATAATCCATAAACTTGGATGTGGATAACTGCCTCCAAAATGGAGCCACTAAATTATGTCTTCTAGTTAGAGGAGCAACCATGATATGACCAATCCTATTCGAGTTTAGCATAGGTTGGAATCCACCGACTGCCATAAACCATTCCCCAAATCACCAATTTTATGGATAGGATTTCAATCCTCCCCAAATGGTAGGCTTATTATAGGCTTTCCCACATCTCTTTATCAAGACACACACACATTGATTGGTTATGACAGTGTCCTCCACTTGTCAAAAGGCACCCTTTCATAGTTCCCAAGCAGTACCCCAAACTTGGCATTCGAGGTAACGGATGGTAACAGCATGTTTGTTTGGATGTTAGCCTAGCAACTCTTGCGCTGGTCATTGTGCCAGGGGTCGTCGCAACCAAACAGAAATAATCTATAAACTTGGATGTGGATAACTGCCTCCAAAATGGAGCCACTAAATTATGTCTTCTAGTTAGAGGAGCAACCATGATATGACCAATCCTATTCGAGTTCAGCATAGGTTGGAATCCACCGACTGCCATAAACCACCCCCCAAATCACCAATTTTATGGGTAGGATTTCAATCCTCCCCAAATGGTAAGCTTATTATAGGCTTTCCCGCATCCCTTTATCAAGACACACACACACATTGATTGGTTGTGACAGTGGCCTCCACTTGTCAAAAGGCACCCTTTCATTCATAGTTCCCAAGCAGTACCCCAAACTTGGCATTCGAGGTAACGGATGGTAACAGCATGTTTGTTTCGATGTTAGCCTAGCAACTCTTGCGCTGGTCATTGTGCCAGGGGTGGTCGCAACCAAACAGAAATAATCCATAAACTTGGATGTGGATAACTGCCTCCAAAATGGAGCCACTAAATTATGTCTTCTAGTTAGAGGAGCAACCATGATAATCCTATTCGAGTTTAGCATAGGTTGGAATCCACCGACTGCCATAAACCATCCCCCAAATCACCAATTTTATGGATAGGATTTCAATCCTCCCCAAATGGTAGGCTTATTATAGGCTTTCCCACATCCCTTTATCAAGACACACACACACATTGATTGGTTATGACAGTGTCCTCCACTTGTCAAAAGGCACCCTTTCATAGTTCCCAAGCAGTACCCCAAACTTGGCATTCGAGGTAACGGATGGTAACAGCATGTTTGTTTCGATGTTAGCCTAGCAACTCTTGCGCTGGTCATTGTGCCAGGGGGTCGCAACCAAACAGAAATAATCCATAAACTTGGATGTGGATAACTGCCTCCAAAATGGAGCCACTAAATTATGTCTTCTAGTTAGAGGAGCAACCATGATATGACCAATCCTATTCGAGTTTAGCATAGGTTGGAATCCACCGACTGCCATAAACCACCCCCCAAATCACCAATTTTATGGATAGGATTTCAATCCTCCCCAAATGGTAAGCTTATTATAGGCTTTCCCACATCCCTTTATCAAGACACACACACTAGACAAGAATGGATCATTATATGATCCGGCAGGAACTGAATCCTGTAACATGCAGATTAGACAGGAACCGAATTAATATACGATATATATATATATAGATCACAGTAGACAATGACAGTATAAAACAACAGCGATAAAATTTAATTTTATGTCCCCCCAGCTGCGTCTTAAATGCGCCCAGGGCGGGACAAGGCAGGTACGTTTACCTGATCTCCAGTGTGGAGCTTCATTGGCAGAGGCCACAACTGGAGATCCCTCTGCCCCCTGCCATATATATAATATAAGGACGAAGTTTTACGTCTATTCAGACGATACACACACACACCCTGCCTCCGGCAGGGTGGTGCGCGTAAAAATGAGATGAAAATGAAGATGAACGGGGGATGAAAAATGAGATGAGAGTGAAAATGAGATGAACGTTACTTAACCAGGACGCGAAGAGGGGAACGCAAAAGAAGAGGGAAGGAGCAAACACACACCAACACACCTAGCCCGGAGCGGGCGAACCCTGAAAAGGCAAGGGAAAAGAAAAAAGAGGAGGGTCGACGGACACGGACCAAGACCAGCGGAGGGGGGGGAAGACGGAAGCGCCTGAACCAACCTGCCAAAGCGAAAACCTACAAAAACCTCAGCACGCGACGGAGCCAACCTACCTGGGGAGGGAGGAGAGCATGAGATAGGGGACCAATGGGGAACTAGTTAGTGAGTGAAAAACAAAACCAAAACCAGGATTCAGCTCCTAAACCTAGGGTTCGTGCGTTATGCCACTCCAGGCCCGTGTTCAAGTCTTGCCCCCAATCGGCATAAAACGGCTTTCGAGTTCCAACGAATTAGGTGCACAATATGTTTAACCTCACCAGACAACCATCAAAAGAAAAAGGACCACACCTGGAAAGCATGTGCCTGCCTTTCTGTGGTCACAAATGTTCAAAAGCTGAAGCTGCAGTAAAAACCGAGTTTCTGATTGTTTCGAACGGCTTCACTCTGGCAGACAGGAATCTCGGCGAGAAAACCCTGGGACTACAGGAGCAGCGAGACTCTTCGAAAACGGTGGATAACAGTAAGGCCGACAGTTTCGCTTTACTTAAGCGAATTACCATATTAAAATGTGTGAATTCGGAATTCAAGTCAGTCGACATTGACCCCAACTGGGGTTGCCTCAATTGGCCCTATGGCACCATGTCGGAGTCACCATAGGAATCACACTAGACAAGAATGGATCATTATATGATCCGGCAGGAACTGAATCCTGTAACATGCAGATTAGACAGGAACCGAATTAATATACGATATATATATATATATATAGATCACAGTAGACAATGACAGTATAAAACAACAGCGATAAAATACATTATATGTCCCCCCAGCTGCGTCTTAAATGCACCCAGGGCGGGACAAGGCAGGTACGTTTACCTGATCTCCAGTGTGGAGCTTCATTGGCAGAGGCCACAACTGGAGATCCCTCTGCCCCCTGCCATATATACAATATATGGACGAAGTTTTACGTCTATTCAGACGATACACACACACACACGCACACGCACACGCACACGCACACGCACGCACGCACGCACACACACATTGATTGGTTATGACAGTGTCCTCCACTTGTCAAAAGGCACCCTTTCATAGTTCCCAAGCAGTACCCCAAACTTGGCATTCGAGGTAACGGATGGTAACAGCATGTTTGTTTCGATGTTAGCCTAGCAACTCTTGCACTGGTCATTGTGCCAGGGGTGGTCGCTACCAAACAGAAATAATCCATAAACTTGGATGTGGATAACTGCCTCCAAAATGGAGCCACTAAATTATGTCTTCTAGTTAGAGGAGCAACCATGATATGACCAATCCTATTCGAGTTTAGCATAGGTTGGAATCCACCGACTGCCATAAACCATCCCACAAATCACCAATTTTATGGATAGGATTTCAATCCTCCCCAAATGGTAGGCTTATTATAGGCTTTCCCACATCCCTTTATCAAGACACACACAGATTGATTGGTTATGACAGTGTCCTCCACTTGTCAAAAGGCACCCTTTCATAGTTCCCAAGCAGTACCCCAAACTTGGCATTCGAGGTAACGGATGGTAACAGCATGTTTGTTTCGATGTTAGCCTAGCAACTCTTGCGCTGGTCATTGTGCCAGGGGTGGACGTAACCAAACACAAATAATCCATAAACTTGGATGTGGATAACTGCCTCCAAAATGGAGCCACTAAATTATGTCTTCTAGTTAGAGGAGCAACCATGATAATCCTATTCGAGTTTAGCATAGGTTGGAATCCACCGACTGCCATAAACCATCCCCCAAATCACCAATTTTATGGATAGGATTTCAATCCTCCCCAAATGGTAGGCTTATTTTAGGCTTTCCCACATCTCTTTATCAAGACACACACACACATTGATTGGTTCTGACAATGTCCTCCACTTGTCAAAAGGCACCCTTTCATAGCTCCCAAGCAGTACCCCAAACTTGGCGTTCGAGGTAACGGATGGTGTAAAGTGTAGAGTGTGGAGTGTGGAGTGTAAACTGTAGAGTGTGGAGTGTAAAGTGTGGAGTGTGGAGTGTAAAGTGTAAAGTGGAAAGTGTGGAGTGTAGAGTGTAGAGTGTAAAGTGTAGAGTGTGGAGTGTAAAGTGTGGAGTGTGGAGTGTAAAGTGTGCAGTGAGGAGTGAGGAGTGTAAAGTGTAACGTGTAAAGTATGGAGTGTAGAGTGAAGAGTGTAGAGTGTAAAGTGTAGTGTGTAAAGTGTAGAGTGTGGAGTGTGGAGCGTAAAGTGTAGAGTGTGGAGTGTGGAGTGTAAAGTGTGGAGTATGGAGTGTAAAGTGTAAAGTGTAAAGTGTGGAGTGCAGCGTGTAGAGTGTAAAGTGTGGAGTGTGGAGTGTAAAGTGTGCAGTGAGGAGTGAGGAGTTTAAAGTGTAGAGTGTGGAGTGTGGAGTGCAAAGTGTGGAGTGTGGAGTGTAAAGTGTAAAGTGCAAAGTGTGGAGTGTAGAGTGTAGAGTGTCGAGTGTAAAGTGTAGAGTGTAAAGTGTAGAGTGTGGAGTGTGAGGTGTGGAGTATGGAGTGTAAAGTGTGCAGTGAGGAGTGAGGAGTGTAAAGTATGGAGTGTAGAGTGAAGAGTGTAGAGTGTAAAGTGTAGTGTGTAACGTGTAGAGTGTGGAGTGTGGAGTGTAAAGTGTAGAGTGTAAAGTGCAGAGTAAAGTGTAGAGTGTAAAGTGTAGAGTGCTGTGTGTATGCCTGTCTGTGTCTGCGTCTGTCTCTGTATGGGAGGGAGGTGACAGTTGGCTACGCGAGGTTACGGGGAAGCATGGGAGCAAATTTCTGCCATTTGGCGGCCCCCCCCGGCCGCCTATTGAATTTCTCTTCTGGGATCATTGGGAAAAGGCCGTTTAGGCCAAATCTTGGCCGGGAGGATTTCACGGGTCAGGTCACGGGGGGTCATGGGAGGTTACGGTAGGTTACGGGAGGTTACGGAGGAGGAAAACGGAGGAAAGTAGAGGAACGGCAGGAAAAAATCGTTAAAAACAGGAGGAAAATGGAGGAGCTCCGAAACTCAACGGAGAGCAGCGTCCGTTGGGGTTCGGAACAAGATAGTTTGCAAGGGGATGAGAAGTGATACTGAGGAAGGGGGGCCGAAGGGTTGCAAAGCAAGGAGAAGTCTTCCAAAGGTGCTGCAGATGGTTTGGGCTTCTAGTTCATACGGGATTGTAAGAGGACGTTTGGGGGTGTGTGGCAACTGCAGATGTATGGACCATGGATGGCACACAATATATGCAGATATAGATGACATGGAAACAGAAAGGTTATACAGAATTCGTTTGGGGACTGTTGAGGGGCGCTTGGAAAACAGAAACCTTGCCAGTTTGTAGGTTGGAAAAAACATGTTGCCAAAATTTTCTGTGACAAAACGCGCTCTGGTTGGAAACCAGCAATTTTGGTGATTGGGGACTCGCCATGCAGAGCCACAAACTCATCTCGAGATGCGATCCTCGCCAAACAACGGCTCAAGAGGACAAATACCAGTTTCAGTCAAACATGTAAAAAAGACACAAACAAGAACAAATCAAACCAAAATTCGGCCATAATCTTTGTGAAGGATCTTGCCATCACCTTCTCGGGGGCCATACACAGTGTAAAGTGTAAATTCGGCCATAATCTTGGCGTTGGCCTGGAGCTCCAAGTAGCGCTTCTCGGCACGTAGTCGTAGTTGGAGATTCTCGGCCATTGCATGTCCACTGACTCCTTCAGAAGAGTGCTCTGCAATGTTGTCCAAGTTGTCCATCTGCCTTCCGAAAGCTCATTGGGAAGGTGCAAATCCACCTATCCTTGCCATGTGGTTGTGAGCAGTGGTCATGGCGTAGACGGCTCTTCGGGGAGGCACATCCTCGCTTCTCAGGAACAACTCAATCTTGTGACGTAGTTCTCCAACCATGCGCTCCACATCTCCCGTGGCCTGATGATGTTCTGCTGGTACTTGAAGTAGTTCAATGCCACGCTCTGCGCAGTAGGCCTCCAACTCTCGTCCTCTGAAGGCACCCTCAAGGTCGCATCGAATGCGTTGAGGATGTGCAAAGTATTGGAACCATGATCCTTCCAGAGCTTCAATCACGCTCTGGGTGTCCACGTTGGCATGAATCTCCTCCACATGGACCAAGATCTCGGCAGTGATGGAGAACCCACTCGCCTCGTCGAGCATGACCAGGTAGTGGTAGACATTGGAATCGTGCTTGAAGTAGAAGGTGTCCATCTGTAGCGTGTTCCAGATTTTCTCCTCCTACTCCAAAGCAACAGCTACAGAGGGCTTGCTGAACTGTCCTTCTTGACATTCGTCGCACTGCAAGTTCTCCGCAATCGCCAGCATCTTAGGGTCGGCGTTGCGAGCAGCAAGGATCTTCACCAGTGCTCTGTTTCCAGAATGTCCACACCGACGATGTAGTTTGAGGACCGTGAGCGAGAGGCGCTCGATCTCCTGACCAAGAAGATCTAATCGCACGCTAATTAGAATGCAATCAGAAATTAAGTATACAATGGCTGGAAATGGCTATTTTTGATCACCGAAGTTTGCCAAATGCATGACAAGTCTTGCAATGGAACAGAAGAACAGCGTTGCTCATTTCTAGCTTTGGTAGATAATTTGCTCTTGAACCGCGACAAAATTGGAAGAGAGCATGATTTCTGGCATGAAAAGTGCAGTGTTGCCAATGCTTTTTGCCATGCTGACCCTCATGAGGGCAAGAGACAAACATGTCAAGAGACAGAGATGCTACAAGATGTCAAGAAAGTTTCACTGCCAAGAAACATTGAAACTGAGCAGAGCTTTGGAACCTAGCTTCTGCAGCGTCCTTGTCTTATAAAAGCTCCTCCCGTTTGGAAACTTCCGCCCCGGTTTGTCCAGGCTATACTTCTAACGAAACGAAAATATAAAACACACACACAACACGCACACACGAAAAAAAAAACACCCACACACACACCCACACACGCACACACACACACCGTACAGACAAACTACTGCCATAAGATGCTGCGCCACTTCAAATCAAAGGTTTGGTCTTTTGTTTTCTTGGGGGTGGCCCCAAAGAATAGATACCACGATGTTCCCACATGGGCGCTTGTACCACACTTTCTTTTCACTCAAACCAGCTCGCCGGTGTAACGGAGACAGATTTGGATAATGTAGCGCTGCATGGTCAATCTACTTGTATGGACAGGATGTGCCATTGTGGCAATCCTTTTCACGCGTGCTACCGTATCCTCCCCTCCATAGTTCATGTAGTACCGTGGGTTTCTCGGTAAAAAGTGAAACGTGATATGCCCCAGTTGATGTAGTTTGGGTCGTAAGTGGTATTTCACCTCTCCCCTGGAGATCGCCCTGTCCGCCAAGCTGTTCAAGCATGCACGAAAAGTGCAGTAGCCAACCACAAACTCCTTATGAGCCTCTGGTGTCAACAGTCGGGACCCATGAAGAATCACAGTTTCCATTGTCGTCAGCCCACCAACCAATCCAGATCGCCACCTCAGATCAAAGCTCAAACCAGGCAAGTTGGAAGCTGTTTTTTTTAATAACGGCCAGTGTGGTTGTAAAGCGATGTTGCTTTAAGAAAAGGTCTTTGGATCAAAGATGATTTGTATATGGCCCCTTTATCTTATAAAAACCAAAATATTTATATTAAAACTAACTAGGCATCGATCTCTACCCAATACCTAAATCCATACTTATCTATCTTTCTATCTATCTATCGATCTATCTTTCTATCTACCTATCTATCTATCTATCTACCTCTAGTTCTGTCTTAAAATCTCAAAAGAATCCAGAAAAAACACATTTGAAGCTCCCCCTAAGTCCCAACAACATAAGAAACAAACTTGGACCCGGCTTAACAAATCTTTGTCAAGATGCTTTCCAGGGACATCATTGGTGTTCACGTGGACCAAGAGGGAATTCACCCAAAACAGGAAATACCGGCATGCGCTCGCAGACAAAAGTTTTTGCGATACTTCACAATGCTTTGTGTCACCCTTAGGCCGCAACACCGAAGTATGAAATAGCCTTTTCGAAGCTCGGTCTGGAATTCCTAGGGCTTGATGAGAACCAAATAAGAAATCAACATCGTTTAACTTGAACAAAACTTACATACCTTTTTAAACAACCAAGCTATCCTCCCAAAAAAATGTCACGTCCAGGGCTCCATTGGTTTCTGCCCAACTGCGATAATTTTGCCACAAGGTGTCCAGTCTCTGGTCCCTGGTTGATCCGGCCACCAGGTTGTCCTCTTCCACCAGGTCTAGGAGGACTGAGGTCAAACTATCAACTGCACATGCCAGGTGCATGATGTGCATGAAGTCGGGAAACAAACCTTGGTTCACGCGCAGAAAATTTCTTTCAGGGTTTTGACCCCATATGCAGAGAGAGAGAGAGAGATAGAGAGAAGCACAACAGTCAAAAAACATATGTGAAAAACGTATTTTTCTGATCTTGAATCTAAAACTTGAAGATGTCTAGGGGGTGAAATAGACATGGAAATCATACGAAACATCGAAGTTTCGACAAACACCCAAATACCTTTAAAACTGTGTGTGTGTGCGCCTGCATGCGTGTGTATGTGCGTATACATCTACACATGAACAAATTGTATACATGTATCTTTGTCTATGTCCGGTCTAGGAACGTGATGGGTCGAAGCCGGCAATGTTGCACAGGGGGCTTATGCCATGAATCTGAAACCATTCCGCCGTTGATACAATCCTCAAGGATCAAGCAGGTCAGATTAAAACATTGCAAGTGTTCCATACTAAGCAAAAAAAAACTTTTCATGGAAAAAATATATATATATATATCGACACCTTTACGTTGTATTCCAATCAAGGGTCTCCCTTTCACCTTCGACTGGTCCAAAAACAGTGTAGAGGTTGGAGGGGTGGTTGTAGGCATGATGAACTTTGTTGGAAATCCATTGGACAGCATGGCATAAATGACAGCACTTTTGGCGTGACGGTCCATGTTCTAGGTTGAACACCACCCTCAAGTAATCCTGATCACATTGAACTCCTTCAAGTACAGCACGGTAGTTCCCAGGAAATTTATTTCCAGCTAGGCGAGCCCGCCGAGGGTAGTAGGATTCGTTGAAGATTCGGCCCCAAGGATCTCTGTCTGGGTATTCTCCAGCACCTTAAAAAATAAAGATGGAAAATAGCACTCCCATGATAAAAACTCCCAAAGCTTTGTTTCATGCCATGGGAATGACTTAGACAAAACATTATGGATACACATGCGTCGCACCAAGGCGCATAGACAGTTCATGCTCCATGCCAGGGTCTGCAAACACTTTGTCCTAGCATCAGTCTTGCTGTAGTTCGAATTGATAACTGTAAACCTCGGATAGGAATTTCTTGCTGGGCATGGCGTGAAGCCATGGGCAGATTGCTGTAAACTGGAGTTGGCGGTGTCAGCTGTGATGGAAATCTGTTTGCAGCTTGGCTGCAAGACCCTGTTGTCAAACGTGTTCGATGATGGGCAAAGTGGGAACTGCAAAGTGATCACTTCAAATTTTTGCTTTCCTAGGACGATTGATCCAACATCGCTGGACTTTCCATCGAAACATGTTTGAAGGAAACTGCAATCAACTTCAAAAACAAAAATGAGATAAGGATCGCTGGGCCTCAGCCCCATCACCGTATATCCTCAGGGGAATGACACGTTGTAGGTCGCAATGGCTATCCTTGGATTCCGGAATGCCACACCATAAATAAAATCCATTCATGTGCAAACGTATTTTTCTCAGCTAAGATTCTGATAGCAAAGGATGGTTCTGAAACCATCTACTGTTCCTTTCTGTCTGCCAAAACGCCAACAAATCCTTGGTTTTGTCACAAATCGAATTATTTCAATTAGGTTTTAGAGAAGAGAAAAATGCCGCATCCAAAGGCATTTAGATTAGGCACTGTTTGTCCAATCATTCTTTCCGTTTCGCCAGTTTCCAAGAATGTGGTTATAGCCTCATGGGGCAGCAGCATGTCTTGTACCACCTCTTTCGGGCCTTGGCTCCATCCGTGGGAGTCATCCCAGTCCTGAGGACAGCGTGGAATCGTGGCACATGAAAGAGTCATCAAGCTGGTGCCTTGGAACGATTCATGTGGTTTGGGTGACATATGTAAATTTAAGGTCAAAGTATTTCGATCTGAGGGGTGGGCTGATGGAACGCTGACTGAAAAGATCTCTGGAAGCTTCCGTCCTTAAAAATCGTTCAAGAGAAATTTCAAAGTTTTGACCATCACTGTGTACATCCTGTGATCAATCTTGAAACTTTGGTTTGTTACATTGTACACCCTGTGATAAATCTTGAAAGTTTTGACATCCTGCCTTTATCTTGAAAGTCTTGACTATCATTATATATGCATATCTTGTGATAAATCTTGAAGCAAGCATCTCCATGGCTGGATGGAAATCCATTTCTGCAGTGTTTGGGCAGCCCCCCAGTAGCTCGATGCCCCATTAAGGCGCGATGCAAGATCCAAGATTTGCGGCCTTGGCTGCATCGCGGTCTCATGGAGTGTCAAGATAGACCTTTGGGGTGTAATTGGACTGTAGGGTAGATATTGAAATAAAAAGGTAAATAAACAAACAAATATACATGAATACATATGTAGATAGATAGATATATATATATCGGATTAAATGGGTGTAGTTGGATTATATTGTTCAGGTATTGAAATAACAAAATGTGTGTATATATATATGTACATCTACCTCTCTAAAACGGTCCTTTTTGCCGTTTATCATTTTTTCGGAACAATCACCCCAACTTGTGGGAGCTAAAAAATAAACATTGTTCAACGGTTGCGAAACCAACTCATTATTGCAAGCGAGGGTCGGGATGAGAGCGTGTGGGAGATACTGAAGTCGGATGACTAGAGTTCGCACTGCATCAAATGTAGCCTGGGACAGTAAAGGTAGGTGGGAGATTGGGGCATGTGGGATTTCAGGAATTTGCTATTGCAAGTTTTCAAAGCTTGACATGACAAATACGTCAAGCAACACTCCCCGTAGAAAGCAAATTGAAGATCTCTGTTACCAAGTGCCGGATGGTCTCTTGCAAGTAGGACGGTGGTTCCGACATGCAAAGCGCTAAAGTAAAGGATATATATATATCTTATATGTGTGTGTTCCCCTTTGTGTGCAGATATATGTGGGGCTATGATAATTAAGGAATTGGGATAAAAAATCATCACTGGACTGACAAAAACGATTTCATCTTGAAAGGTCTGATTTAGTAGTCAAAGGGCAGCTCATCATTTTTGTTGAATGTCAAACAGCTAAATTAGACTTCATGCATGGCCCTGGCCAACCCTGTTCGAAAATGGCTCATGGTGGCTCATGTAAGGAATGGCAAATGCACTTCAAGACTGGGAAGAGCGACTGGAATTTTACCTGGCGATGGTCACTGCATCTTGGCAGAACTTTTGGAAATCCGTGGCTCAGGACAGTGACGCGTCAGGCGTCAACGATCTAAACATCAACTCATGTTGATTTCCTCAAAATTTTCTGGCTTGTTGCATCTCCCAAGCATTCAAGGTTTGATTGTTCAATTAGCTAGTGTATAGCCGAAATTGTTGGAAAGACAGTTGGCCATGCCACAACAAGCCAAGCCAGCCTACACTGGTGAAAACAAAATATGTGCCCCTATTCTTCCTTTGGCTCTCCCATCGACTCATCATCATCGCTATAGGGCATTCCATCAACATAATCCGAATTCTCTTCATCCAACTCGGTGTCAGCCAACCCTTCGAAGTGATTGGTCGGTAGGGTTTCTTCAACCTTCGCTTTCTCTTTTTTTGCCCTCGACTTAGACTTACATTTGGCCTTGGGTTTCAACTTCGCTTCGGCCTTTCGCTTCTCGATGGACTGGCCTAAGATGAAACCAGATTTGCAAAGAAAGGGTGAGCTATATAGATAAAAAAATACTTGGTGACAAAAAGACATATATAGAGAGATGAACGGTGTGTGTGATTTTCTCCAAGAATTCTATCAATCAGTGGTCAATGGAATTTAAGATCTTCAGTGACAATCAGTAGATAGCTAAGTAGTGGGCGCCTCTCATGTCCCTGAACAATGATTTCGCCTTCCTTGATCTTTTTGTCGCACTCCTGTCGGCTAAGGATCGATGCGCCGAGACCGTGTGGCACTGGATCGATGGAAGCCATCATTGCAACGAAAACGGGAGAAACTTGCCTTCAAATCGTCTTCATATGCAGACAGCTTGGCCAAGCAAGTTTTCACCGTCTCACCTTTGAATGTCATATCATTGACCCTTAGCGCATCAATGCACATCGAATGGACCAAAGGGATGGCAATACAGAACTTGCAGGTCATACAGGATACCTTTGGTCTAGTTTTTATGATTTCAAAAATAAAACAAGGCAAGGGAATCAGACTGGGGTAGAAACTCGTCCAGTATCTTTTTCAACGTACCAAACTGGTCTTCAAGTGCTTTCTTCATTTGCTCTTGGTGCTGAATTCCAGTTGCGGTGATCTTCATGGCGACACTCCGGGCTTTATTGGCCAGAGTTGAGATCCTCAAGTTTCGAGCGTTTGAATGCTTTAAGTATATAACTTTTTTTCTTATGGCAGCATATATACTGTGAAACGTTCAAGACATTTGCAAGAATGTTGCGGCTTAGAATCTGCCCACATTCCTTTTGGAAACGTGCCTGCTCCTCTTGTTCCTCTGTTTTTTCCTTCTTTTCCTTTTTCACTGGTGCTGCTTTTCTTTCGGCTTTCACCCCCGTACCACCATTTTGAAGCGGAATAGCTGCACGTTCAGCTGCCCTTGTAGTAAGAACAGCAGCAACCCCAGCACGCATTGCGCTATTCTGGGCAATCCTAGCTTTTGCCTTGACCTTGGAACCTGTTTCGTCAATTTCTGCCCTGGTGTCAGTAGCACCTGTGTAGACGGAATACAGCATCTTCTTTGGGTTGGTAGGGTCCTGCCATGCCACCGTGCTCAGGAAAGGATGGGTGATCGTGGATTGGTTCACTTTGCATCTCTGCTGACATAGCCCCTTGGTTTAAAATTCCAATTGTCCTGAGGGTGAGGTTCCCCTTTCTGAACTGCGACAACTTTCTCAGCAAGCCATGCAGGGTCATACGTTTTCTCCAATTCATCTAGTGGCTTCTTGATCCATTCGTTCTCTCTTTTTCGTTTTGATGACCTGCGGATAAACTGAATTCCAATATTGATTCAGGCTATGTTCATGGAAACCAAATTAGCTGCAGTAAATGAAGTGTTATGTTCAGCCCATGGATCTGAGTGACCGGCTCTTTATGCCAAGCCTCTACTGTGACATTCGACAAGGTGCTGTCGAGCATGAAACTTTTCAGGAATTCAAACCTGAGATCGGCTGCAGGGATTTTCAACATTCAAGATGTGAGCACCCAAACAAATCATTTTTTTAATTCAAGGGGCTTGGCTTCGTCAGTTGTAGATGCCTCCCACTTAGCCAACACTCCAGGGGGCATGGTTTTTCCAAACGTCGCCCCAAAGCAGCAAACTGACGTTTCCTTTCTGCTTTTGGTAAGTCTGATGGTTTCTGCAAGTTTTGGATCGCCAGCTTTTGGTCATCTGTGAGCACTTTGATTCGTTTCCCATGGGTCCCAATTTGGCCCAGGCTAATGGAAGAGAGGGATCTTGCCATAGCGCTGCTGCTTGGCCTTGGTTTCGCCAGGCAGCTCCATCACTCGATTCATACATAGATAGATAGATTAGATTAGATTAGATTAGATTAGATACATACATACATAAATACATATATATATATTTATAGAGAGAGAGGTATACATATATTCAATACACATATATATAAAAAAATATAAAAACAAATATCCCTGATCTATATATATATACACATTATTTTTTTAATATAAGCATACATACATATACATTTACATATACAGTAGATATAAAGACATTTTAGTCTGGAGCCGAGGCACTCTGCTTCAGCAGTTGTTTCTCCTGAAGCCGGGGGAATCATGGGATGTGGCTCAAGGAACCTGAAAACCAAAGATTTGAAACACAGCTGTAACAGGCAAATGTTTTTCAAAGCTAGCGAGAGCTCATTTTTTCCATATGTGGATTCCAAAATGCTCACTGATGCTCGCCTGTGTTTGGCGTAGGGGATGACTCATTCTCGACATCGCCTGGTGTTGTGTTCTCATCGGGTTGCTGATGATTGGTACTATCCCGAGACTTTCCCTTTGCTCCTTTGATCTCTCCCAGCTTGCCCTTGCCCTTGTTCTCGACAGTCTCGGACG